TCGCTTTTGGACGCAATTAGTTCAGCCGATTCTCGAGGACTTAAGGCCTTCGTAGACGACATTTTCTCTACAGCCAAGAAGTCCACGTGGAGCAGGGTGAAGAGCTGTTACTTTCTATAGAGGACTGGCTGGTGGCAAAATCATTCCTGGCTAGGGAGGGTACGCGAATTTTTGATTGATTGTCAATGATTTATATTTAGAAAGTTATCAGAGGGAAAATTATTTCTGGATTTTTTTTTCAATTTCATTTTCGTTAGGGGAAGATCACTCTTACCTTTTTCCCAGTGTGAAAGGATGTCATAAAACTATTTTAGATCTATAATCTTAAACAAAGCGAAATAATTTTTGAGATTTGTGCGTACGGCCGGTGTGATAAGTTTGTCAGTATCTTGTCATTGTCACAGTCTGGGAAGCGTGGTTATTCATTTCACATCCGGCTGTAAATATTACAGACCCGTGTTACCGTTCTGCGTGGCGGATCTCTCGCAAATCATAGTGGCGACAGGCTGCTATTTTCCTGAAATCTTTCTCAGAAAGTTGTAAACAATGCCTTCAGCGAGCGATAACTTCTTAGAGCTTAAAGACTGCGTCTTTATTAGAGGTTTTCCCGCAAACGTGAACTTAACAGCGTCCGACATCAGGTGACGACTTCGACTTAATTATAACTTCAATTGGAGTAATCTCGGATATTGTCCCGTGTTTATTTCCCTCATATGAACTAACATCGAGTGTTTCTTTAATTTTGTTTGTTTACTAGGAAGTATTTTAATGACAGAGTTGGAAAATGCTGCGTGGAGATGACTGCTCTTTCCAAAGACAAAGGTCGGTTGTTCATCGTCCTAAAATTCGATAGCAAAGCAGCTGCGCAGAATGCCATTGAAAGGTAATCTTACGTAGGGGTCGTACAGTAAAGATAGTCACTTAGCTTTGAGTACTCACAGAGCATATTCAACCATATTTACAAGAGAAGCACCTTTTAAACATTATCATGTGCTTTCTGTTTTTTACATAACAAGTTCGCTTCCTCTCGAGACTCGACTCATTCCTAATTCTTGAGAGGAAATCCCGGTCTTTGAATGAAAATTTAGTGTAGTTGTAATTATAAGTAATTGTTTACGTTATCTATGTTTAATTAATTATGTCTGATCGCGTGATTTTACGTGCTGGAGGTCTTTTATATGCGGCAGCCATTGCAGATAGGTTTCCCAGAGGACCGTGAAAACAGTTAATTAACACTACAACGACACCGTAACGAGAGTTTTCAATGAAGTCGATGTTTTCCATAACAAAGAGAATTTTGATATTTAACCAACTAAACAGAGCTGGGAAAAGACATGACTTGCTGAATTTTAAAATACGATTGAAATCTTTAATTCAGGTGCTAGTATGAAAGAAACTTTTTATCCATCAGAGCCTAAGTCGTATGAAATCTTTACAACGAGTTATTTAGATGCTCTGATTCAAGCTGTATGCTAAATGTCCGTTGCAAATTGTTTGAAATATTTTGGAGGTCTACCTCTTTCTCTTTATGGAAATCTAGGTTGCATACCACCATGGATATGACCAATTTTCAAACAAAATAATCAGTTGCATGACATCACATGGTTTGAAATAAAACAAAAAAATATCAAGGCTAACAAACTCTTTAGATAACCTTCTACTCATTAATTACCAAAATTTACTACATAACAATGATTTTCAGCCCCAAGAAAAGCTGTAACTGTACTGTTTTCATGTCAGTAAAAGCCTTTGATGTTTACATGAGAAACAAAATGAAACATGATTGCTTGTAGACATAGAATTTATTTTCTTGTGTTCAACTCAATAACTCACTCCTTCAGTGTACTTAGATTGAGTACAAACAGTCAAAGAGAAATACCATATCTATGTGCACCCATGAACTATTCTCTATATATCATTTATGAGGCCAATTTTGAGTTATATCATTTATGAGGCCAATTTTGAGTTAGACGTTATAACCTAAAATTGAAAAAAATTTAAATTTGTATGTTGTGCCAGCACATTAAAAATTAGGTATGTAGTGAAGTAGTTTCAATTTTTTTTTTAAATTTCCTGGCCCGGGTTGTTCAAAGCTGGGTTAAGGTAACTCAGGGTTAGTGTGAGATTTTATTTCAGGTCTGAAAGCTTTAAGAGAAAATTCAGTTCAAATCTTTTTGCTTCCAATTTGATCATTGGATGTTCTAAAAAGAATGGTGAAAATTTTCCCTAAAAGACTCTTGGACAAAGAAATAAAGAAACTTGAATTAAAATTCAACCCTGGGTTAGGGCTAATCGACCTTTGAACAACTGGGTCCTGGATGTTATCTTGGACTGTAGGGAAGTGGTGACACATACAACTGAGAAGTGCATAAACTTCAAAATATTATCTGATCTTATGGTTTTCATTCCTCATTAACCCCTTAAATTTGGACAGCTGATAATCATTTAACCCTTTAACTCCCAGAAGTGATTGATGTAAAATGTCTCCCTACAATATATATACATTATTCAGCAAACAGGTAATGAGAAAATTCAAACTCACCTGGTAGAAGCTGGTATCTAGATCTAGTACCAAGTTCTCATAACTAATTTACAAGGAAATGTGTAACAGTTAGAGAGGAGAATTAACAATCAGATCTTGGAGGTTAAACGGTTAATGTCATCTCACAACATCTTTACACTATCTAGCCAATGATTAATGAGGATCAAGAAAAATATCAGTTTGGGGCTGTTATCTTGATACACCACCAAACTCCATAACATAATTTGAAGGAACTAAATAAGAGGTAGAATTAAGAATTTACATATAGAGACCATAGCAGTTAAAAAATTAACTCAAGGAACAGGAGAAAGGAAGCAGTTGAGCAGAGTCTGGTCTTTCAGACCATAATGTCTTGAATTTGTGAATAAGGTTCTTACCCCAATGGTTTGTCTGTTTCTTTAGCGGCAGTCAATCAAGCTTGGGATAATGTTATTTCACATAACCGAGTTTCCTAGTCATATTTGAGCTACAGGCAAACAGACAAGTAATGAGAATAAAGAAAAATATCAATTAGGGGATTATTAGTTGATCCAATACCAAATTCTCCAAACTAACATCATATGAATTGTATGGCAGACAGTAAGGAGAATTACTAAGGAGATCTTGGGAGTTTAAGGGTTAAAGGGTGCTTGAATAGCAGCTCCATAACACGCCCTATGAACATGATAAATAAGCATCCTTGAGAAAGCATTTATCATAAATTTTACCCTAATCAAAATATTTTGGATTTATTGGCAATAATTTTTGTCCTAGTTAGAGAGCAGAAGTGAAGAAAATTATTTGGATAGACACATTTTAGAAAATCTCGAGGACATCACCAATACACCTATTTATGAGATGGGAAAATATTCACTTTTTGATCATAAAAATTTTTAACAGTGGAAGGATATTATATTCAGACTACTTCATAAATAAAAATATTAACACTACTTCATTTTTAAGGTTCAGTGGGAAACATGTCTTGAACTATAAACTGAGACTGAACTTTTGGAGAGCCCCTTTAAATATGGTGCGCTCAGAAAGATCAAGCAGAGACTCGTACGAAAAGTATCACCAAAGATGGGACCACGGTATAAGATCCGACAAAGAAACCAAAGAATCATTGAGACACCACAAGAACTCAACCAGAGAGCAGAATTCCCATGGTACAAACCACTTGCCTAGAAATTCCATGCCTTATGATGATCACGTGGAATTCAAAAAGGAGTCCGATAACTTCAGAGGGTTTCAACAACATACTTATATGGACAGATATGAAACAAATGATGATTTTAAAAATTACCAAGAAAAAAATGAAGAATATTCACAAGATCGTTGGAGTAGTGACAGTGGACGCGAAAGACAATATCCAGTACTTGACCTTGACTGGAGTGAGTGGGAATCTAACTTAAGAGGCAGCAGTGAAAACCTTTCAGAGAGGGGGTTCTATGAAAGAGAACAGGTTTGTGCATGTGTGTTATAATTTACTTGGAAAATTTACAGTCAAAAATCTGCTGAAACTGATGGTTGTGTTTTCGAAAGGGTTTTTGTCACAAAAATTTGACAGCACAATGTCTTTGGGGTAATTTTTCTGGTGTTTGATGTGCTGTTTGTCAGTTGTGGGCACCAGGGACTGTGGAAACACCTGAGGTAGTTGCCCATATTCCTGGATGTAACCCTGGTATTTGTAACACAATAATCACAACAATTGTAATATTCTGGAAACTCTTTAAAGTGATGGAATGTATCCATAGGATTCCATTCCAATCCTGACTTATAGCCAACACTAAAATCTTTTCTCACCTCGATCTTTGTCAAGTATGTTTGAAAAGTCTTTTCCCCTTCGTGAAGAACATTACCGTGTTGGATCAAAATCAGCATCTGAGCTACTGCGAAAGTTGTTGCGCGAGGTAGGGTTAATGTTGGGTTAGGGGAGGGGTAGGTGCGCAGTTGTCCAGGTACTGACGTTAATCTGCGTTTAACATCCTTTTACTCTTTTTACACTTAAGGAATTCTTGCATTCTCGTGGCGACAAGTTTTGGCGAGAACGTGAAGCTGACCAAGAAAGACGCCCAGAACTTGTTGATGAAGATTTTACCAAAGATTATGATGATAACTTTTTTCAATGCGAAAACTACTTTGAATTCACCGATAACCATCACGCGCACAACGAGAGGTTATCACCAGTAAAAGCAGAGGGCAAAAGGGATCAAAGAGGAGATCGATTCTGTTCAAGAAACGATAGAGAATGGTTTGGAAACAGAGAATTTACAGGTTATCAAGATATAATTTAAGATACTTTTACTACCTACGGGATGATGCGTGATTAAAAAACGCATTTATTTAGGGGTGGCCGTTTGATAACCATCAGTGGGGCGGGCCCACCCAGAGATATCCTCTCTGGTTGGAGTGGTAATTTAACCCCTTAACTCCTAGAAGCAATTGACATATAACTTACCCAATGATATACATACCATATCCAGCAAACCAGTGGTATCTTGACCTAGAATCAAATACTCGTAGATAAGTTACAAGGAAACGTGTAGCAGCTAAGGGGGAAATTAAAATTTCAGGATTTTCTTTAGGGAGGTTACATTGCTTTTGCTTGGACAGTGCGTGTTACTTTAATTATCCCCTAAGCCTTGACATCTAATGTGTTATTTTTTTATTGACCTGTAGAAGAAACCCGACGCAACTTCCCACCGTCCGATCAATCAGCAGAGTGGCCAAGATGGGAGACAGTTGCCCTTAGCAACCAAACTAGAAAGCCATTTAACCTAGATGTCATGAAGGACACGCCCACACACGTGACACGGGGTTTAAACCCAAGAGTCTCACCTCCGCCAGACGGAAGACCAAGGTCAGACGAGTGGGTGAGGAACATTACCAGAAATTTCCGTAGCAAAGATCGGCATAGTGCTTCGCCTGTGAACATTCGCTCTCAGACGTTTGGTCGTGCTGGCTCTCCGCTTGCAGGTAATACTTCATCACAAACAATTTCTGACTCTGCTCGCTCAAGAAAAGGTCGTGGTAGTATTTCTCCTGTAAGAAACAGGCACTCCACCAATGGAAGAAGCAATAGGAGTTGTTCAGTCGACAAAGGGTTTGGTTCCAAAACTCATGAATCCTCACCAATGAATGGGAGATTAAGTTATTCCTACAATGAACATAGCTTCGGAAGAAAGACGAGAGAAAGTCGAAGTTTCTCACCAAACCCAAATACTAAGACGTCTTGGCCGAGAGGACATGGTAACAATGGTAAGGAGGTCGACCTTCGACGTTCTTTTATGATGCATCAACAAGGAAAACATTCATCTTCGCGAGAAAGAGATAGAGAAGTCAGTCTAAAGCACTCGCCTAGAAGGACGAGAAGCTCTCTGGAGAAATATAAGGTCGAACCATCCTCTTGTCGACAAGCCATAAACAGGAAGAGACGTAATGAAGACGACCTCAGAAGAGACGACAGAACTAAAAGAAGTAAGTTTTCAGGAGGCAGTATTGTCGAGTGTGCTGGTCTTGTAAGCTGGTGCAGGGAGGGGAGGGGGAGGGGCACTTGGGTCACACTTTGCAGGGTATATGCCGCTGACCTCCCAGAATCCCTTACCTCTTCACAGTCTATTCTTTGGCCAATTATAGACCCCGTCTTTGTTACTTTTCGTTATACGGTCACAAATTGTAATGGCGAATCTTCATGCAGTCGTGTATGAGCTAATACAGCTAGGAATTTGCATTATGATCGAATTTTGTTATAGTTTTGCAGTCAAATCGCTTGTTAATCGAAACAAATTATGATTTCGTCAGAAAAGGAACACTGAAATTCACGGGGACGACATGGTAAAGGTTGGAATATAGCTACTAATATTGTACTCGCTATTATCGGCCATAACATACAGTGCTTTAAAGTTTTCACACTGCGTTCAAATTAAGTATCGGCAAACAAACAAAATGCCGGGATTTTCAAAGTATTAAAAGTTTTCTCTCCTTTGGATTTTTGTTTCATAGGGAGACAAACAAGTTCAGGCATCTGTGACAATGCGTCAAGCCAACTTGGAAACGGGAACAGTGATTCCACCCGGAAGAGACATAAAAGAGAAACTGATGAGAGAATAAAGTTATCACCTCGAGATCGTGAACGAAAAGCAAGACGGGTAAAGAACAACACACATTACTAAATATGAGATTTAATGCTGTATTACATTCAGCGGAGTAAGAGATGCGATGTCTTAGTAGCTGAATTCCAGAACCCTGGATTGAGAAATCCATGTTCGAGGTGATCTCACTAGATAAAAGACGTAGTTCTCAGATCCCCTCTCCCCGTCCAGGAGTTTGAAAAATGCTGTGGGTGACCCGCCTTGTGCTAGCATTTCATTTTAAGAGGAGTGGTAGTACTCATAGTTTCTTCATGCCAGGATAAGTGTTGGCAGCTTTGAACTTTCGATTTTATTTGTATCGATGCCTAGTCAACGAATGTTCAATGATTCACACGGATCAATGTCAGTATGTATGAAACTGCGCACCTACCCCTCCCCAAACCCAATATTAACCCCAACTTGATTTCAGTTGACTGTTGTTGGGCTGAGGGAAGGGTGGGTGCGCAGTCGCTCCGATACTTATCTCTTCTCCATTAACCCTTGAAACCCTAAGAGTGACCAGCATCTAATTTCTCCTTACACTATCACCTATAGCGGATGTTTTAATGCTTTTTTTCTCTTACAGTCGAGAGATCCTGCAGCAAGTAATTCGAACACAAGGAGAGCAGATCGTTTTCTAAGTGACCTGGCTGTAACTTTGGCCCAGGGCAAGGTTCTCAACAAAGGACCAGAAGCTAACTTACGTGCTTCAAAAGAGAACGCATCAACCAGTGGTAATTACATTGAAGGAAAGTGTCGTGGAAGTAAAACAAGGCTCCCTGTAAACCCAGCCAGGGAGTCAGAGGGATCCAGAACTGGTGAGAGGAGGTACCACGAGCAAGAGAAGGCAGCCGCTGCCTCGGACAAAAACAAACAATCTTCAAACGTAGAGGAGGGTATCAGCTGTGCGGAATTAGCAATGGAGGGGGACAATGAAGAGAGTATCATTGAAGCAGAAGTTTCATCTTGTAATGAACCTTCAGACCAGGAAGAAGAAGAGGAAACTGACGGAAATGAAAGTTCCAATTTGTCGGAGGATGATTCAGAACGTGCGGATTCATATGAGAATAGTATCTCTTTCGAAGATGACTTTTTGGACGTAGATGAAGACTTAAGTTCTGTTATTGATGATGAGATTGATGATGACATGCCTGAAATCAATGACATTGATGGAGACGGAACTGATGAATGCAGCGAATGTTCTAAATTGTCGACAGGAAATTCAGAAAATGCTGATCACTTCGAGATTATGGGGAAAGGATTACAACGTAACAACTCTTCTTCAGATGAGGAATTTTCGAAACTGAACTTGGCAGAAGAATTGATGGAAGTTGTTCACACTGCGGATTTGCGTGATTTCCGGTCTCTTGAGACTTTGGAAAAACTGGATTACGTTGAGACGTTGTCAGAAAAAGAAAACAAAACCTCTCACGATGACCAAGTAACGAACTCAGATGAGTCCTTTCAAGAGTTGATTCTCAAACAGGAGGTCAAGGAGCACACAGAAAATGTCATACACGAGGAAAGTATGTCAACAACTGCACATCATGCTCACGGGGATATTTCTTCTGTTCAAGGGAAGCCATCTGAATGGGAAGAAGGTAAAGAATCTTGTCATCTAAATGCGAAATGTAACATGGGTAAGAACGCAAGCCAGGCACTTTCTGTGGAAGTATCGTCAAGGACCCAAGTTTTGAACATGTCACCCGACAACGTATTGACTCGTGATGTAGACAAGGCTGATGGAAGCTTATGCCAGAAGGAGGAGCGCGAGGCAATGTACCGAAGTAAGGAAGACTATCAGGAGGCTGATGTGGAGTCTGTTCCAGAAGATATTACCCGTGATCGAACCTCGTCAACTAAGATTTCTTGTTTCCCTGGTACGTTAAGTAACACAGAAACTGATTACAGGCGTGATGACAAATTTAACCCACAATTTATAGACAGGAGGAGCGGTCCTAAAGTGCCTCTTTCAGTAACAAGCTGCAACAGTACGAAGGACAATTCAGGTCCCTTAAATGAGGGAAGTTATAACGAGGAGAAATCTTATTGCAACGGGAGTGAAAACCTAGCAGTATGTACCACTGAAAGCGAGCGTGTACGTGACAGCATAAGAAGAACGAAAGAAGGTCAATACGAGCTAAAGAGTAATAACCGGAAACATTCTAATGGTGCTGATAATGAGGATAAGAGAGACCAAAGAAACGTAAAAAGTTGTGATTTGGATCCACTTATCAATAACAAAAGTGATGTCAAGACGGAAACCTCTCGTAGAGTGCTGCCCCTTAAAAAACGTGAAGATACTATTACGTATGCCACATTCCAAGATAAGTTTTTGTGCAAGCAAGGAGAAGTTTATATCCCTGGAGAAGCTCGGGTAGCACGAAAAGAAGTCTGTCATAACAACGAAGATGGTCTCGTTCATAACTGGAATGTGAAAGATGTTAGACTACCTGAAGGCTCTACTTCGGACAGAGAACAAGATTTGCCTAAAGAGGGAGCTGTTGTGAAAAATGGTTTGGACGGAGACAGTGACGATTTCGAGGATCATCTCGGTCAAGAACATGCAATGCACCATGCGGAAACTTTAAATGACACCAAAACAAAGGTAGGTTCTCGTGACGTTTCTAACTCTCGAGAAGAAAAAGATTTGGAAAGCCGTAGGCGAAGCGAAGAGGTCTTCCCGTCTGTGAAAGACGATATCTTCTCAGGGACTGCAGATCTTCAACGTGTTGATATGGAAATAAGCTTAGAAGGGGAGATTCCTGACGTTTCGAAAGAGTTATCACTGCGTGTGGATAATGACACCGTTGCTGAGGATGGTGATGGAAATAGACCTTATTCTCCCAGCAGTCCAACCTGGACAAGTGAGGAACACCGCTCCCCACTCCCAAAAGATGACATGTCGCTCTATTCCCCGAGTCGCCCAACAAGCGTGAGCGGAAGTGACGCACAACGAAGTATCATCGTCGAGGACTTGTCTAACGAGGACCGTAACTATGATGGCATTGAACCAGTCTTTGATTCCATGGAGGTGGGTTGTGATTTACCAGAGAAGGAAAATGTTACGGTCAACAGTGGCATCACAAAAGGGCCATTTACAAGTTCTTTCATATTTTGTAGCTCACCAAAATCTGAATCTGAATTACTTCAAGGGCAATCAATACTCGATATAACTGAGGAAAATATTTTACGAAGACCTGTGATACCAAATAGCAAGATAGAAAACCGCAAAGTGAAGGACGAGAACGGTAAGTGTGATGAAGAGAGCGTTGGCAACGATACTGAGATTTTGTCAAATAACCCAGGCACGGAAAAGATTTCTAAAGACGATCTGAGGTATATGAAACATCAAGAGGGAACAAATGGCCTTGTACCACTTGCCTCTGTGGATGTCAAGCCTAAAATAGAATACATAACAGCTACAAAGCTGCATAAAGCTGAGGATGTTAAAGTTTTGTTAGAAAATTCTGTTCAAGAAAAGAATCAAAACCATGGCCGGAAGTCTTTGAGATGCCAAGAGAGAACGCAAAGTTTGCCAACCTCTGCTACCATGGATGTGATACCTAAGAGAGCATTTGTAACCTCCGCCAAAACTTACCTCGTTTACACTGACAGCGGAACTCGGCACAAACCCCGCATATTTTATGCTACTAACGATACTACTGCTAGACCTACGAGGTCTCTCTCCTTGGATACAGCGTGGTCTTCGGATGAGAACCCTGAGCTAGGCCCCAGCAAAGCATCATCAAACAATGAAGAGGAACGACGGCAATCAGCTGCTAAAAGAGCTGATATAACAATCAGAAGGGAGGAGGAAAATCCTGATAGTCTTGTCGAACCATCGTTGTCTAGTGGGCCATGTAGCTGGGATTCGCCTTTAAAACTTAACGGAGATATGTCTGAGGATGGTGATCAGAGTGTTACTCTAGTCCGTGGTTTATTCGTCAATTTAAGGTCTGATAACATGGCTGTGTTACCGGATCCAGGACGTGATAATTGTGCCGATGCAAGAGTGACAATGAGTGCAAATACAGCGTCAACTACCTCTTCTCCCTGTTCAGGTGACATTATTTTGGCTCCCAGCTCAGATCCGGGAAATGAAGAGTCATTACCCATACGGACGCCATTGCAGCCGACAGATAAAGAAGCGCCTGTTAAAAATGACGGAAGAAACTCGCCGAGCTGCTTGTCCCATAATGGGGTGTCGTTAGATATCCAAGCACTATGTGGGACGAATAAAAAAGACTTCTCCCCAGCTACTGACCATCATCTTAATACCTCGTCGCAAGTAGCCAAAACGACAAAATCGGTATCAAACTTGGCTATTTCTGATATCACTAATGACAACTTAAGGCCTGATGAGCCTTCGGTAACCTCTGTAGTGACCGGCAATATGCCTGTTGCATGTGGACGTGACGACCAGATAGTGTCTCTGCTTATGTGTTCCGATGATATTCAGAGTGCAAATGCGGAGATGCAAGGTAAAAATGAAAATGACTTTCAAACTGAATTCTCTTTGGGAGGAATACAACGGCAGGCTTCACTTAATCAAAATGGAGACAACACATGTCATTCAACCCCTGCTAACATTAAGAGGCCCCGCCCTGACTCCAGTGAAGAACCTTTTCACACCAGTAAAGTGGCTCGGAAAGCTCTCAAACTTATCATGCCAACAGATCGAACTCCTAATCCCCGTGGGAAGGCGAACCCAAATTCTGCTCTCTTCACAAGATATTCTAAGAAGACCAGCTCTTGTACAATGACTTCCGCAGACGTGGCTATCTTTGCAGAGAAAAGCCCTGCGCACGTTGTGGTTGGCGATTCCCTTTTCACTAATAAACGAAATCATGTTGGTAATGATGTGTGCGCAGAAAATGATTCCAGTTGTAGGAATATCAGCATAGACAACAGAGACAGTCACACTTTCAAGAGTGACGGTTTTACTCTTGCACTGAAAACTGGTATGTCACCGCCAACGACGAATATCGAAAGTCGCATGCAAACTCAGTCATTTGTTGCTGATATTAGTGTCAAAGATCACACAGGCACGAGGATCTTGTCGGACATTGAAGCTAGCTGTAGAAGAAAAGAAACTGAGCAGGTCGCTTTCAAGATGGAAAAGCTTCGAAAAAAGAAAGAGGAGATAGAGCAGGTGAGTAATCCCCTCGAGCTATTTTCATTCCGAAAACTGAAAAAAATCACTCTAAAAATTGCTTCAAAATAGAAATGCCCGAATCTTGTGCATTTCTCCCTTATTATTGGTGCAAATTAAAGGTACATCCTTAATCTTCAAAAATCCGTGTGTGAAAGTTGAACTTTTCTTTAGTGAATCTCAGTTTTACGAGGTCCGTTTGGTTAGTTTTGGCCAATTCTTCTCTAATTTTGAGCGAGGTCGCCCTTAAAATTTGCCGCCTCATCAGTTATTAATAATTAATGGTGTCATTTTATTCTGCCCGATGCGCAATGAAGTCGTTCGTGGTCAAATGATCAGTTTTTGTTCGTTAGAGGCTGCCCTGCGCGCTTTTCACGGTGAGTAATTCTTGCTTGCTCGCTATAAGAAAATCTTTGGGACGTTTTCCGCAATATGAAACAGATACGCCCGAGTCCCTAAGCATTATGCGTGGTGTGCAGTTATCGGTCGAATTGAGTCTGAAAGGTTATTATTGTCAAATCACAGCAGCTTTTAAGACATCTGGTATTTTGTTCCAGATCTTTAAGAACGATATCGCTTGAAAGACATTCAGGAAATACATCAAAACGTCAATTAATTAGGGACGCGCAGAAATATGAACTACCTATTGCTACCTGCCTTTTTCACTTTATGTAGACTTTACTCTGTCTCTATCACTAGTTTTATGAGCTTTTGTTTGTGATTTTGCCTATCGTAGGTTTACAAGCAGGAATGCGAAACAGTGATAAGTGTAGTTAAGATGTTAGTGAGGTGAGGAACTAAATCGTTTTTAATGAGTTTCGAACATCTAAATCATTTTTAAATATTTTGCAACGTTCTAATTTAATTAGCTATTAGTTCTTCATGCGGGATGCACTTTGTGAAGGGTGTACACAATGAAAAGAATTATTCACCAGCATGTTAATTTAAAACGAAAGCGGGTTTGAAGATTAATTTTCAATTCAGTGTCGAAAGTAATCCGAGACTGCATTGATTTTGCTTTTCTTTACTCTGTGATTGGTCCCGAAAAATCCGCGCCACTCTCGTAACCAATCAGATGCAAAACTAAAACCGACCTGGTCACCCGCGTTTTCTCGCGCTTTAGACGGTTTTGTCGTCTCTACTTTGAGTTCCCATTGGCTCGGCAAGGTATTTTCCTTTTTTCCCATTGGCTGTTGTGATTACTTTGGTTTTGGTTATAAGACACTCAATCGAAAAGCGCGCTTACTAGTTATCATAAAGGAATGCCTAATTTTGTTTGTCAAATGAATGCCATGGAACTATTAGACTCACAGAACTGATTAATTTGAGGTTCCCGCCTTTAACTAACGAATTAAACTATTTTTGTTCCTTTTCTCCTTAAGGAATGATCCAAGACTGGAAGGTCTGTTACAGAATGCAGTGCGTCGCACCTTGCAGGATATGGGAAGAAGATGTGTGCAAGAGCTTGAGAAGCAGGCTCGTCCTGGAACATAGATTCCTTCGCTTTCTTATTAGCTCAGTCCTCATCAATGCTTTCAAGTGTAACGAGTGTATATGGAAATCGAAAGGGGATGTAACGTTGCTCTACAATGGCATTAACACCAGTACGAATTTCTTGAAAGGTTATCATCAGCAGTGTAGAGGGCGTCTGTCTGTCAGTCCAAACAAAGACTGTTAAACCCTTTAACTCTCAGAAATGATTAACACATATCTTCTCCCCATACTATCCATACATTATTTAGCAAACTGGTAATGAGAATACTTAAACTCAGGTAAAAGTTATGTTGATCTAACACTAAATTCTCGTAACTAATTGGAAAGGAAATGTTTGGCAGCTGGAGAGGAAAACTAATCATCAGCTCCTCGGAGTTAAAGGGTTAAAATGTATTGACCTTGTCAAAGGTCAATAAATGTTTACCCAGAGTCGTGAAGTGCATGTGCGTTGGGATTGGTTTGTATGCTTCTGTATTCCCTATTCGTGGTTACGCATACGCGACATAATCAAAAGAAACAGCATCGTTGAGTTATGGAAGTCCAATCGAAGTTTCGAAGTCTTATGAGGTGTACTTTTTTAAGACATGTTTTATCAAAGTAATGATGAATTTCAAATAAAGATTATGTTTGAACGTAATATTGTGTTTGAACTTAATATTGCCTGGATTTTCGTTCGCGGCTGTTAAGGATTAAGTATTAAACATGAAAAGCTCGTCATCATGCGTTGCCTAAAAGGTGCGAAATGTAACACTAAGATGTGACACCATAAGCAAATTTTATGTCCAAAAAACGTTAAAATGAGAGATTTCACTTCACTTGTCAACCAGCTTCTGTCTTTTAAAGAGTCAAACTAAATGAAAGAAATCAGTGACAAAAGTATCCAATAGTATCTCGTTGAAGGGCTACCATCTCGCGGGTCAGTTCGTAAAAGAACTCTAGCACAATTTTACGAAGCGTAACTTGATATATCAAGCTAATTATATGAAAAAGAAGGAGGAAGCAAAGTCAACTTAATCAACTTGTTGAAAAGGCAAGCAAATGAGCACAACTTTCACAACACATGCGTGCGCCAAAGTGCAGCAACAACGTTCTTGCTGAGGTGCTCATTCTCTTTAAGGGGGTTGGGAGGTGGAAAGGATCGAATGACAAAGAAGAGAGACATGAGGAAAGAGAGGAAAGGTCTCGCTGGCTAGAAGCCAGACTCCATTTATAGTGGATTTAGTCGTGCTGCGGGTCGTTTAACAGCGCAGTCCTATTAACCCGTCACAAACTTGTTCAACTTTACGCCGTGCAAGAAGTTGTGGCTCTCAAAATGTTTGACGAGATCCTTTACTTGAGGTCTAAGAAGTTTACTAGAGTTTTGATAGGAATTAAACCTGACCATGTAAGGGTTGCATTGGTTCAGCCTAAGCTTGAATGCCTACGCTGACCTGAAAGCCACACAATGAAACACCACGTGAAATCAAACTTAAATTTTAAATGAATCTTTAAGGTTTCAAGTTTGAAAACGTTTTATTTCAGCTCTTGTTCCTGTCAATTACTTGTATATCCCTATTAACTTTATGTGCATTATAACAGATACACAAGCTGTTATTGGGATTTTTTTCCAAATGAGCCTTTAAAAAAAATTCCCCCATTCTCAAAGCAGGGATCAATAACTCACTCACGTATCAAGAGTGGCCACAAGTATTTAAAATTAGCGTATGCTAGTTCAGTGTATAGTGCTTCATACGCGCGCTACTTGGCCTGCTCCGAAGTGACTAGGAGTTATTATACACCTCTAAGCAGCCAATGACGCCTATTGATGACGGAAAATTCGATTGTGTTATTCAAAGCTGTGATGTTCGGGAATATCAAGCTTTGAAGCAACCGGAGAAACTTCGGCCATCGCCGATGATATGCCCGGATGGGAAACGATTACTTCGAACCCTGTCCCCAGGGGTTTCTCGTTCATTTTTCAAGATGGAGGCGGGTCTAGAGAAACCTCGTACACACACCTCTCTATAACGACTGCCGAGTGGTACCTTTCTTGTATGACATTTCATTGGTTTAATTCATTTAAAACGAAGATACCGGCTCTTGGGCGGGCTTACGTTCAGCCGAGGCAGGTCTGTCAGTAAAGCTTTTTTGGTTGGTTTTTTTTTTTTTTTTTTTTTTGGGGAAGGGGTGGGGGGCATCAATTAATTAGCCTTTGCTACTTAGATGAACTATCTTTTAGAGTTTTTTGTTATTGAGAGACAAATTTTACAATTCTTGATGATTTTAGATATATGAAATTCATATATTTGCACTGCGGTGAAGAGATGAAATTTAGAGATCCTCGCAGCTAAGAACACTACTGAAACGAGTAGTTGAAAATAGGACCTGAAAAAAATTCAGGTCCGTAAGGGATTTGAACCCATGACCTCTGCGATACCGGTGCAGATACGGACCTGAATTTTTTTCAGGTCCTATTTTCAACTACTCGTTTCAGTAGTGTTCTTAGCTGCGAGGATCTCTTAATTTAGAATTCTTGTCTGCATATTTCTTAACTGTATTTGTTGTAGACTGAATTGAGTCGAGGTCTCCGTACTAAAAGATGAGTACTTACGAGTCGATGAAAATGTGTTCGTCTAGGAAATCTGACGGTTTATAAAACAAATGAATAGAAAATAATCTTAAAATATGACATATTACAAAATAGAACCGATCCCTTGAAACAAACTTATTCTGTCCATCTTCAAGAAATTGTAAACAGTTTATAATATCTTGCCATGGAAGTCTGCTCCGACCTGAAGCTGCCGGCGATTTAAAACTTTGGTGTTTGAAATTATTTTAACAAGAATATTTAAATAGTACTCTCAGGCCTAGTTCAAACGTCGATCTTTACATGTACCGAACCTAACGTTTCTATTAAGTACATGTAAAGATCGACGTTTGAATCAATTAGGATCGGCAGATTTGTATAGACGTTTGAATCAACTGCCGCTCTTAATTATTGGAGTCGACCCAAATTGCAATTAGGTTCGGTACATGTAAAGATCGACGTTTGAACTAGGCCTCAGAAAAATAACCTGATAGGGAAAAAGAGCAGCTTCTCAAAGAGTGTGTTGTGTAGATTCAACGAGATATCTGATATATTTAGGTTGATACGTTTGCAGCATACATGGCACCAAATAACGCTTGTTGCACGCCGGGTCATGCGCTTAATGCATCGGACTCAACAAGCTGAATGTCTCCAAAATCGCTTAAAGGCTTTCGTGCGTTTTTATCATAGCAATCAAAGGACTCCAAGCATGTTCCAGTTGTTTCTCTTTGAGGATCCCCTCTGTTTTGAGTTTTTCTCAAAATCAGCGGCTTCTACTCGAGAGTGACGTTTAACGGAGTTAATATGATATAAATTTGCAATCGGTTCAGTTACTGGATGGTTGAATCAGTTGCTAACGGATCCTTCCAAGTGAAAGAAAACTACTGGTTTCAAAGAAAGTCAGCAATGACAAGCAGCCCACAGTCTTTCAAAACGTCATAAAGATCTCCCACAATTAGGAGATATTTTTGTGCAACGAAAATCAAAACTTCCACTTAGTTCCTTGTGCGCTTGTCCAAAAAACGTATCTCCGCAGGGGTCACTCCCAGTTTCGCAGTAAACAGCTCCCAATCGTCTAGACGTACAAGAATAAGCATTGACGTATATTCAAAAGATATTGCCATCTGCCCTCGACCCTTTCCTTTGCAAATTTCTGGTGAATATTTCAAAACACCTGGCTAACGTTTCCGATGCGAGAACATTACTGGCCGTTTTTTTTTTGTTTTTGTTTTTTTTTTTGGCATGATTCTTGCCCATAAGACAGATTAGTCTTTAAAAAAAGCAACACGAAGGCGAGGACGAATTTTCATTTTTCTCTGTTCTATCTCTCTCACCCCCTTTTTCATCCCCCGTCCTGCCCTGTCCTTTTTTATGACTTTTCCTTTTCTTCCTGTTTAATTTTTTACGAAACCATCCTACTTGCAACTAATATGAACAAAATCACTTGAGTGAACGATAGGTCCACTAGATCCAATGAAGAGATGTTGCTCACAGGTTCCCCAGTAGGGAGGATATCTTCCATCCAGAGAAGGGGGGAAACTATAGGAATTATTTCCGGGAATGTGAAGATAGTGGTGAGGAGAGTGTAAATGCGTGAGTGAGTGAGCCAGTGGGGGTAAATAAGTCAGTGGAGGAGAGAAGGGAGCGAAGGAGGAGAAAGAGTTTAATTTAAACGTTTATGATTTGAAACACTCATATATTACGTAAAAATATCTTACTTCGTTGCTACAAAGCCTCACCGCTAAGAGTAACTGTCAGCTCTTTTAGCTCTTGTTTTGAAATATTTGGACAGGGAGGGTTTCGGGCAGCATTGGACCAAGAATAAAGAACAGCAGTATTTATGAAAAGTACATTTCAAAGGCAGACCACTGACTGGTGGTCTGAAACTAATGTTAGAGGGTCTCAATAGGGTTGACCGTCAGCTGTCAAAAAGCAAAATGAATCAGCCTCAAGATGTAGAAATTGACATATTTAACCGCGTACAAGAGATTATAGACTGTTTATTTTCTCTTGCCGTCAATCATTAAAAAAGATAAACCGTAAAAATGGTTCTCTTTTGGGAGCGGAAAGAAATTAACCGTTAGCCGTAAATTTGTTCTAAAATTTTTAACCTTAAGCCGTATAGGTAATCACCCCAGCGAGACCCTCAACCCACAGATGTACGTTTTACTTTGCTCAGCAGTTTTAAAAGTTTTGGTTGAAATTACAAGCGGCGAAGTTATTTCACTATATTACACGAAAATAAAGTCAGAACTGTTTTCTGGATATGTTCTGTCCAATTTCCATGTAGAATGGCGAATGAACGACTCACCGTCTGAGGTTGCTTGCCTGCCGTCCCTGCTGGCATAATTTCTCTTAAATACATTAGTCCTGCCATGATCTTTGGCATCCCTCGTGAGACAACGGTTCCATTTCTCAGTTTCAGGTTTTGGATCCTCCAGTGAGGCATCATTAGGTTGTAAATTATGAAGCAAGTTATCTACAACCTCTTTTGGGAGGTCCAATGTTAACTGAAGAGATTCGCTAACTTTGTGAGGCAAAACAAGGGATTTGTATCCACTCCCTAACACATCGAAAAACAACGACTGTGAAAGACAAAATAAGCCACAAAAAATTAATCTAACATTATCCTGTCAACGACCAAACAAGTTAATGAACTTGAGGGAAAAAGGAGCAACCTGATACAGAAACGGAAGGAACACTATGAATGATCGCCAACGGGGGTAACGCACTTTGCACTCAACTTGAAATCAGCAACGGGGGTAATACACGTTGCACCAAACTTAAAATAAAACAACTAAAATGGTAAAGAAACAAAAGCAAGTTACCTTGTGAAGAAGGAACCAGCGTCCCATCGCTCTCCTGAAATGCATCTCGCTGTGAATGGGCAGCTTCAGAATTAAGTGAGTTAGAGATACAGTTGTGGCAGAGTTAAGCGAGGAAATTCCCTACCGCACCACAGAAGGAATTCTAGTACAAATCAGGAAAACAAGCCCGGAAGGACCCGACCTGTGTCAAATTTGTTAAAAAGAGAAGGAATTTTTGCAGATACAACGAGATTACTTATCTCCTCAGGTGGACGCGTTTGCAACATGAAGGCCCTATGTAAGATGGGCAAAGTCTTTCTCTTCGTGAAAGGCTCTGACAGTTATTACATTCTTGAACACATCAATCAACCACTGATTATCCAAGAAAACTAACTCACTAAATTCTGGAGGGTCATCAAAGTGAATCAGAACTCGCAGATCGAGCAAAATGTTTAGCGCTGTTTGTATCTCGTTGTCGTTAATGGTACAAACTTTGGATGCAACCTCACATTCACGGGAGGCATAAACTTGTAACCACTTTCCTTAAGGGCGCGAAGGGCCTTTTCGTATTTCAACCACTTGATCGGAATAGCCTTGGTTGCGGGTGGTAACTCTTTAGAAACGAAATGTAATCCGCCGTGCTGTATTATGCTCAAATGAGGTAACTGTGGTATCAATGTTGGCCTTCTCGTCTATTTCTCCTAGGATCTTACATATTTCGGTGGTTACTTTAAAATGATAGCGATCGACCTCAATTCCCAGGGTGCTATCTTTCTCGGGTTTGAAGCAAATCCCTTTCAAGGAATTCTTCACGCTAGTTTTACCAGACCGATCTTGTCCAACTATCATTAGAGGCACTCTCCTGGCACACGTTCGACCTTCGCCAGTGCATTGTTGTAGGCTTCTAAGGCTATAACAATGCACTGGCGAAGGTCGAACGTGTGTCAGGAGAGTGCCTCACAGGACGAAATGGTTCAATTAAGTTGCCTTAACTTAAAGGTAACTTGGAGGCTAACATTAGAAACATTTAATTCATCTTTAGGTGATGCACGAAAGTTCTGAAATGAACCTTTAATTTAGCTTTCAGGAGTCAATTTAAGTCTCCTTATGAACCATTTCTTTAACTTTAAGATCACATGAAAGCAAACCTAAATAACCATTTAATGGACTGTGTTTAATGGAAAATGATTACAAAATGTTTGAAATTGCAGTGATGAAATAATTTTGTACAAAATTCAATTACTTCCCATAGATAAAGCAGACTCACAACGTAGCTGAGAATACTTAAAAAAGAGATATCCAAATGTTTCGAATTACTACTTGTAACACTTTATTAAAATTGTTTGTAGCTAAAGTAATACGCTACTCTGAAGGAACTGTACATGTGACAGTCGAGTAACACATATAAATGTTATCAACAAGATCTCATTTAAAGTCATTTATTCAAAGGGTACCTCTCTTCTTGTTCATTACATCGATTAAGTAATAGGGAGAAATGAGTATTATTAATGGTGTGAGATTATTCTTTAAAGCCTTTAAACTTGCAATCATTCATTACATCTAGAAGATGACCGAGCCCAGTAACCCATCATCTCATTCCAATAGTTTCTACTTATGCCGGTGAAGGGGCTAATTAGTGCTCAGGTAACCTTCCGCATATTTTCAGTGAATATCCTCGGAGATAATTCCACGTTTCTTCTGTATATATGTAGGATCGACTTCATAAACTAGAACTACTTTTAATTGCATTAGGGAAAAAAGGTTGTTGTTTGATTTTAACTGAGACTTGGCCTTCTCTTTTTTACGTTTCATTTAAGTCCTACAAGCCGGCATGACCAGGGTGTGCTCTAAGATCAGTTAAGTACTAAAATATGCTGTGATGGCCGTTTTCTGTGAGTAGCTCTTTCTACCAGCTAACCTTCTTGTGGGGCTTTTTTCAGCTGAGGCCGTCAGAATACTGAACTTTTCTTTTACCTCTTTCATTTCAATCTCTGCCTTGTCAGTTGTCTCTGAAGTTTCTCTCCATAATGCTTATCATGTTTTCTAAGTCTGAAAATGAATGTGAAAGGAATGTGTAGCCAGTAAAAGGAAGAATTAAGAATTAGATCTTGGGAGTTAAAGGGTTAAGACAGACAGACACTAGTGATAATTTAACATGGTGGAGTGGTTAACAGTTTTCATGAGATGCTTTAACTTTTAAATTATTTTCGAGTGTTTAGTCAGTTGAGTTGAAGGTTATTTATCGATGATTCCTCAACCAAAACGTGAACAATTTGATTCGTCTGTTCTGATTAGCCTTAGTTACAATTTTATGATAGGTTGTTAAAAAGCTTAATTACAACTGTAGCTGACTAAAAATTGTGAGTGTAGCTCTAAATGGAAACAAGCGTACAATTTATTACGTTAATCACAATCTTTTCTAGTGATATCTTGATGAAAGCTTGATAATTATTATTTTCTTAAATGTTACTTAATTAACCAAAAGGTCTAAACTTTGTTGCTTTTAAGAATTACGGGCACATTTGGTTAGCATCTTTTTCTCAGTTGAAATAATCATAGATCATGCTAACTCTATTTTACCTTGAGCCCAGTTAAAAACAAATTTTTCGGCAGAAAAAAATAGGACAACTTAACACAACAAAAGCACAAACAACTTGAAAGAAATTTAAGAAAATTTTTTTAGGGTGGTCCATAGCTGAGTTGTTAGAAAAGGGTTGGGAGATTTTGGCTGTTAAGGACATATCATAAACAATTCATGGAAGAGCATTATTATTGCAAAGAAACAACTCTCGGGATTGGGACCAAACAACAGGTTTTGCTTCAAGATCTATGGGCATGTTCCTCGAGAATATTACTTTCGTTTTTTAGATGGATTTAAGGACTTACTGCCCTTCCGGTTCCACCTTTCAGGGTGTTTTTGTATTACCGATGGCACCGTTACGTTTATACAATTCAATGGCTGAGCCACAACAGTGACTATAATTGTTGGACTTCTGAACTGAAACACAAATAGTGGCTACTTCATGTTTTCGATCACATGTTGCATATATAGGTATAAGTTCTACCTCCCCCAGATATTGTTCGCAAACTCACCGTCATCAGTGGAGATCAAAGAGGCTAAAGGGTATAAGAACAGTGCTTAGGTGAATCACAATTGTAACAAGGAAATTTTCTAAGGAAAAGATTTTAATAATCACCTGTTGTATCTTGGTTTTCATCCTCACATCCTAGATCAGTTATTCCACTAACTGATGATGATGAGTTTGATACTTCATCATCTGCATCATAGTCAAGTTGGTTCTCATCACTTTCAGAATACATTGGCGTTTGAACAGCATCATTACCTGGTGTGGCCAAATAAAGCCCAAACAACTTTACACACTTCGTTTTAACTATTATTGTGTGTGTGTGTGTGTGTGTGTGTGTGTGTGTGTGTGGGTGTGTGTGTGTGTGTGTGTGTGTGTGTGTGTGTGTGTGTGTGTGTGTGTGTGTGTGTGTGTGTGTGTGCGCGCGAGGGTAAGGTTTCATCAAAGTCAGCTAATGTTTTAATTATATTTACATGAATTTGTCGTTCCATGTGTTCCTGTATCACGATGCCGAAAACTTCTCATAACCTCAAATGTTAATGTTTCAGTCGAGACTCAAAATCTGCGTTCCGTACCCAAATTTATTTAAATCAAATGCACGGTAGTCACATCATGATAAAACATCGCAAATTTGCTCTAAAGATGAGTAGCAGTCGTACATGTCAGAAGGTGAGAAAATAAGGCACTTACACGGTTGGTCTTGCTTTTTTTCTAAGGCATGCTTAAGTTCTAACCAATTCACAGTTTCACTTTTGTCTTCAATTCGTTCTTTTGATAACCTGAGCAGATAAGAGAACGAGTTATCTTAAAGGCTAGTCAGTCAGATCCATGCATCGCCTCTCACAAACTGAGACAAACACCTGCGAGTCAGAGTAAGCTATCTTGTTCTGTTAAGGTTCCCGTTCATAAGCAGTTAATTTATAATTCCACTCTGTGATAATTTTCTCTCATTTCATTGTTCATTGTTCCTGAGAATTTCCTTGTATTACACAGGTTTAAAGTAAAGTGTCTCTCATATGAACAGAAGAGAAACAACCCCATTCAATTTTTCAATATTAGAATTATCTGAATAATAGGCTTTAAATGACAAAAAGAATCAAATTATCCACGGAAGAAATGATTTTGATATTACCTTTTGTTTACAATCCCTAGGTAATTCTCCAATATTGGATGTCCATTAGCTCTTGCAACATCTTCAGGTAGAGTAGGATTGTTTTTATAGTGACTAAATACCACTTTACCAACTGAAGTACTGAAAATGAAGTCCACAAATTCAAGGCTATTGTTTTGGGCAGCTACGTATATCAGCATGGTTAAGAGTTTCACCGACTTTGAATCATCGCTCTCAGTTATTGAGGACATTCCTAGTTGTAAAAAGAAACGGATAAAAGTCAAGGAACTTGTTCTTAAAATGAATTATAAAATGAAGCATAATAATCATTTAATTACCTAAGGATTGCAATCATTTATCTATAACTATTTATCTACTCTCCCTGTTGGAGAGTGACGTAACCAAACTACAGCTGCAAAGGAGAGTAGGATTTCTGCCGTTCCTCCATTGGAGAGAAAATCAAATTTATTCGTTGACAGTTAGTTGCCTCGAAAATATCATTCCACGTAATTTTACTGCGAAAAGCAAACAGAAACTATTGTATCTCCTATATGCTCTAACCAAAGATATATTGCGATCCATGTTCTTTGAATGAGTGAAAATACAATGAACAAAGAGGAAAGGATCATATTTCTAAAGGGCTACTTGATTGGTTATTACCTATCAGGACGTTGCCCCCTGTGTGTGAAATACGTGGTAAAACACAGGTTGTTTACGAGGAATTAACACGCGATGGGATTCAGTCTAATGTAGCAAAATGCGCATTTGATTCGTAGAAAACGACAAGACGCAGGAGAATTGCGGAGAAAAGCTCACTAACAGTGGAATTTTGTTCCATGTGAAACTTTTTAAATGGGGTCGGATAATGCAGTCAGAATACGTGATAAAATGCAGGTTGTTTAGAAGGAAATGACACGTGATGGAGTGGTCTAACGTGGCGAGTTGTAATTTGATTGGTGGAATACAATTCAAGCACGTGGAAAGTTGCCCAACGTTCATGAAGTGCAATAACTGAGTTTGTAATGATTGGATCTTGGACGTTGTTTACTTAGTACGCGATGGAATGTTAAATTGTTTGGCGTGTGCGTTTCGATTAAAGGAGCGGAAAAAACACATTTTAGATTAATAATAATACAAGAAATTGCCAACCTTTCTTATTACGATAAATCTCGAAGGCCACAAACCATTGCACTCACCAAATGAGCCTTAAATATCTATTCAAGATCGCATATATCTTTGGTTAGTCTATTAAATGTACAACAGAGTCTAAGTTTGCTATCCGTCAAAAAATTACGCGGAATTATATTTTTTTCATGCAACTAACTGTAGACGAATAATTTTGATTTTCACTCGGCTAGAGGAACGGCAGTAAGCGTAGTCTCTTTCGCAACCGTTATTTGGTCTCGTAATACAAAGCGCGCTCTCTCTCCAACGAGAAATAGAGGGCATTGTGTGACGAGACCAAACAACGGCTGCGAAGGAGACAACAGTAAGCAACAACAGTAAGTATTTAGACAATAGACCACATAATATCTGTGTGAATTCAGTTAAGTTAACTTTTTCTACGTCTTTATCTTAGGGTGAAGTAATGCGATATTTTCGTTCTTTTGAATGTTCTCTTTTCGCCAGTTTCAGAAATAAAAGCATTAGGTACACAAACTGTTCCATATTAACCCACTCAGCTAAAAATAAAAAACTATTGTATGCTACGCATACCTATGTTCTTATTTGATTATAAAAAACTCATAAATTCGTAAGATAAATCCATTAACACGTTCACTCCGTTTTTAGAGGCCCCAATCAAAACTGAACCTTTCAAGACACATGAAGAAAATTAATAAAAAAATGTTAAAATTACCAGCTTCTGGTAGACGAAATGCGTTTAAGTCATCTGATCCAGCTGATGCACTTAGCAACCCTTTGCAGAGACCTTCCAAGGCGGCATTTCTGTTGTCTTCACTTACCAAAACCTCTTTCAGGAGCTCACTCATCTTGTCTTTGTATGTAAACTTTAAATCCTCTCCAAAGCTCACATATCCGACGTTTTCAGTGAACCTAAGTATTGCAACTTTTACTTCTCCTTCACTTTGACTGACTGTGACAATGAAAACAACAGATAATTATCTTTGTTATACACCTAGACTTTCACTCAACAAAACGAGCACTGTGATTGGTTGATTCTTGGTTAAGTACCCCTGATCAAAGTCAAATGTATCCCGACCGAGATACAACTGCGCAGTTATTGTCCTCGAGTCCTGATGTTTCCCTCGATGAGTCCTGATGTTTCGGGAAACATCAGGACTCTCGAAAAAACAAAACAAACTGTTTCCCTTAGGACCGTACATTAAGTGTATAATAGTTGATATCACTCCAAAAGATCAAACACAAAAATTAAAAGTAACAGCATCAAGAGTCATGACCTCAAGTGAGGGGAGGGACTTGAAAAATGTATTTGCAATATCTATCCTGTTTTTCGCAACTTTCTGAGATAAATTTTTCCTGCAACGACCTCACTCCAATTATTAAGCGCTTAATCTCAAAATCATGAGCGTCGTGTCCTGATTCGCAAGAGGATTATGACGGAACTGCCGCTTTGTGCTTTACATCAATGTAATGTGCTCGCTTACAGTCGCTTTCTGACACAATGTCGTGAAATAATTGACGCTGTATCCTCAATGCAGTAGTCAAGATACCTACTAAGAGAAATACACATAGTAAACTTACTTGGAATAACACCAACCAAGGTGTAAGGGTTTTTTAGTGTAAGGTTAGCCACTCCAAGACCTTCAAAATAAGCCTTATATAATGAAGCATCACATGGCAGCAGATCAGAGACAGATATTGTAAACTTTTTCTCTTCCTAGTGTTAAAAATGAATTTAATAAAAAATTGAACATTAATAGACTTAACCAACGTAGTGACAAATCAAAGTGCTCTGTGAGCAAACTCGTGAATTGACAGATGACTTAATTTTTTGGATTATGTTTAAGGTTATCTGGCTTAGGGAATTTTGTGGTTGATTGTCATATTTAGAGTACGAGCAGTAGTTCAGTGTTCGCTAATGTAGCAAAGAAACAAAATAACGTTGGAATAAGAAGGCATTACAATTGAAATGATCATGCTATTACATTTGACGACGGAGAATGACGTCATGTGTTTTAAACATTTATTTTTTTTAGAGGGCACGGTAACGAATCCTGCTATCTGAATGGTTCGTTACCCGGTCAGTATTTTCCTATCTCTGCCCACGGGCCACGGTAACGCTTTCGTGATTCGCCGAGTACATCCCAACTTTCGTTGCCATTTTTCATAAATATATCTCGTTTTTCCGGCTGGGCAGTATTTTCAAGTAAACACGTCGGTCACTACCTCAAGCCAATAAATAACTTATGAATCCTCTGTTTTCTCTGTCTCAAATCACTTTGGTCGACAGAAAAATATTGGTTTCAGAATGAATTTGTATAGGCAATAGTGTCATCACGTTGGTTGACGAGCGGCCTAAAAACCGTCTGCAGTTAATTTTAATCCTTCACAAAAAGTACATAGAAAGTTAAAACGTGAAGTATTTGGTTACAGTTAAACTGAACGATGTAACTTTTATTTCTTTAATATCTGAATTTTCTCAAACAATTTGTTCGTAGTAAAAGAGCGAGCGAAGTTTTAATTTAAGTTCTACAACAAATTTACGCTCTCGGTGAGTTTTTCCGAGTCTGTTCAATTTGGACATTTGTACTGTAAATTGCACAATAGAAACTCAAGGAGTTCAATGAGAAAATGCTACATTGAATCCCCGTTTGTTTCGTTGGAGTGTGCCATTCGAATTTAGTTTTCGTGGAGGAAAGACCAGATTTACACACGCCATTGCAGCAAACAAACGAACAAACTCTCACAGCTTCAAAATAAAAAAATTGAATTTACTCGCATTTATTTTCCTCGCCGTTTACTTAATGAACAGAGGTAAATCTTCGTTCATGAATGAATCGTCGATAAGAGTGAATAATACTTTCCGTAAGGTCATTGACTGTTTTTGGAGAAAACATTGTCGTGACAGTCCTAGCCAAACTAGTTCCGTTGTTTTTCAAATGTTCCTGCGCTTTTTTTTCTTATGCGCTCCCTAATTGACAGGTGTCAGATTGTGACAGATACTTGTAAAGATAATATTTCAAAGTTTGTTTGGAAGCCTTTTAAATCACCTTTATCGTTACGGAAATGAAAATGTTTCGGTGAGGCATCTCTCTTTAATTTGCATCACCTCTATTTTAACTACCATTTACTCGCTCAAAAATTGTTCAGTTTATGAAAGATCTTGTCATATTTATAGTCCTAAATCATTCGGGTTCTTTCGGAAAGAATTTCGCCAAGTTTAAAAAAAATAAATATGTTACTTACCGGCTAAGGGTCGGTCCGTATGGTGAAAAACTGTGATCTCGGTCTTGAAATAACTTTCACCATACGGACCTCCCAGCCGGCAAATAACATACATATATCATTTGTGTTTCTGGTTCAAAAGAAAAGGTTTGAAGTAAATGTGGGTGAAAAGTGAAATTTACTGTTTATCATTGTAAATATTGGAAAATCAAGGCAATACTGTCTTAATGAAAACATTAATGATTCCCTCTTTATCAAATGAGACAAACGGGAACGAGTTTTGAGTGACATAACTAAGCCAAGACTGCCACCGTCATTTTGGATTTCCACCTGGGTAGATTTTGGTAACGTGCTAGGCAACGTATAATCAAGAACAAGATAGAATTTCATTTCAGGCCTATTTATCCATTTTGTGATGTATAAGTTCCGCATTTTGGTAAGTAATCTATTTAGAATCTTCAAATTATCTTGAAACTTAAAAGAAAATTGTTCTTTAAAAATTCACTGGAAATCGGTAGCCAAAATTATTTGTTTGGGTGTCATTTGATTTTCGTGTTAACCTGTAATTTCGTCAGTCGCCGGCATCTTTTGTTGCTTCACACAGGAAGAACACACGATACGAAATATAATGATCGATTTTGTCCCCAACCTCACGCCATAACAGAAAAAGCTTTTGAACACTTGTAAAACTCCGAGCGCGTCGGAGTAAGTGATATTTTTAATGAATCTTCGGATTATTTTCAAGTTCAAGGATTGTAAATTACAATTTTATGGAAAACAGAGGTTGTTCTCTTATTTCAGTATGAATCCTCGCACGCCTGCAAGTCGCTAGCGCCGCTTGTTGAAATTAAAACGAAAAAAAAATAACCGTTTTAAGATTATCATTGGCTTGTTTTTCACCTCACCACTATTCTTAGCAACAAAGGTCGCCATTTCGTTTGTTTATCACTCGCCATAAACTATCAAATGCACTCAAAAGCCTAAAATTGAAAAAAAGTTTACAGGAATCGACCAATCGAGCGAGCGAATGCCATTCTCCACATCATATCTACAACTCGCTCTTGCGCATGCGCGCAATTCACGAGTTAAAGATGTATACCAAAGGGGCCTGGGGCGAAATGCACGATCAAGTATAGTTTGTAGTAACCCGCGTTTGTATCGGTCGTCTACACGGCTCTTGTAATGCAGCAGGAGACCAGTATTTGTGGGTTTAACGTACACTTAAGTCTAGTTCGCGACGAGCATTCTTTAGCCCCGAGGGATCTTACGAAGAGTTTTAGTGTTTAGAAGAAATGTGCGAACAAATTTGACGGCCTACTTTATGAAATTTTTTTATTCAAGACCTAAAACCTGCTCTCAATGTCCAGTCGGACTCAATTCGTGCAAAGGATTTTAATTAGGTTTTTTAATTAGGTTTTTTATTTTTATTTGTTTTTCATTAGCTTCTAATTATTTCTTCTCCTTGTATGTTCTTATTGTCTGTTTACACCTCCAAACATTTGAGACTTCTTACACGCATTTATATCCATCGTTACATTCTCACCATTCTCTTGAAAATGACCGAAGTTTGGTCGAAACGTCGTGTTTTACCGTTGATTTTTGTCGTAAAGAGTTTTACTTTGACTTTGATGGACTGTTTAAAGTTGTTATAGGGCTGGAATGTTTTCTCCAATAGCGCACGCTTTCATTAACTGCTTTACTCACCTTGAGACCTGTCACTTAATCCACCGACATCAACACATGATTATTTTGTCTTCGACATACACTTCACTAAAATAATACAAAATAGTAATAAGAAGGACCATACTGACACTTTAAGTCTAACATTACCTTTGTGTATGCCCAATCAGGAGTCATTACCGCACGAGGAGGCACAAATGATTCTATTAATGGCACAAAAAAAATTATAAATTAACTTTTTAGATAGAGATTAATATAAAATGCATCATTTTGTGGGAAGCATTTTAGGGGCAAATAATTAACAATTATTGACCAAAGTGGAGGTATCTATCCATCATTTTCATCCACAAAGCATTTAATAATTGTTTTAGTATAAACCAAAGAGAAACCAAAAAATTAGTCTATCTCTGTCAGTATATAGAAAATGGTCGGAAAGTAAATTCTTGAGGCGCTCTATGATCTCTTCGGTTGCTCGAAGGTCGATGCTGCTTGTCAATCATCTCAGAGCCAGTCAATCACTGGTTAGTACCTACCACACTGTTAACCAGTGTGGTAGGTACTAACAAAGGATATCAAGTAAAGGCTTATCACAATTAAAAGTACGTGTCAAAAAAAAAAAAAAAAACAAATGCATAGTGTAATCTCGCACCAAAGCTTGTAAATTTGTGTCAGTAAATTCAATTGTGCGAGCGAGCTACACATTCCTAATTTGAAGGCTTGTGGCGTGTGGTTACGTCCTTGTCATTCCTTCCTACCCTAAGAAGGCGTTCTCGGAATTAAACACCTACTCGTCATCCTCTTTTACCAATGTATAACTTTTCGCAGTAAGCGTAAGGTATGCAATAAATAACATCGGCGGACTGAAGTGCACGTGAAGTGAATAGTAATCTTAACGGATCTCCAGGGTCCCAACATTTTTCTGACGTTATGATTGAAAGGACAGGCTTTGCATCGTGCGCGAGAGCACTTGAAAGCCCCAAGTTGGTCATTAGTTTGGAAGGAACTTCTGACCAAGGAGTTGGCTATGTTTTTGTCGCGTTTGAACCAAATTAGGGAAGGTTGGGAGGAGATATTACCAATCTCTGAATCATTTTGAAGTAATGTAAAGCTTTTGAGAATGATAGACTTAACTGCGTGGTTGTGTGGGTGAAATTTGTGAGTAAAAGGAATGCGATCAGTATTTTCCTTTTGTGTCGTCTAAAGTGCTGGCTGTCGATCAATTTGTTGGGCGCGGTGATGGCCCGCTTGAACGACAGAAACAGGATAGTCACCTTCATCGAAAAACTGGCACATTGCCTCTGATTTGTTGGAAAAATCGGAGTCGTCACTACATAAACGACGAAGTCTGAGAAATTTCTAAAAAGGAATAGAATTCTTGACATGTGATGGATACGAAGAATACAACAAGGAACTATACGAGACTGTAGGTTTGTAGTAAACACTAGTTCTTGGACCGTTGCCTTCAATTGAAATTTTGATGTTTAGAAAAGCCAGAAGATTCGGAAATTTCCCAGGTATATTTGGAGCCGGGTGAAAAAAATTGACAGCGGTTATATATTGAGTCAGCTCCTCTCTGGTAGAGGAATGGCGCCGACAAAGTGGTCAATGCAGCGACCGTAGAGATCAGGTTTGGGGCCTTTGTCTTGATTGAAAAATTGGTTCGTTAAAACCTACAAAAAGAAAGGCGTAGCTAGGTCCCATTTTGGTACCCATGGCTAAGCCATTAGTTTGTTTGTAATAGTTGCCACCGAATGAAAAGCAATTGAGTTCTGCAAAGTGGAGTAGTGTTTCAGAGCTAGGTTCTTAACAGTACGTTGATCAAAAAAATGTTTGAGGGCCAGGAAACCTTGGCCATTGAGAATGAAAGTATGAATTGACGTAATATCCATTGTGAAAAGAAGTTTGTCTTAGCCAAGAAAATTACAGTCGCGAAAAATTTTAAGTGCGTGTTGGCTGTCCTTAACGTATGATGCTAAAGTTTTGACGATAGGAGCCATAATTATGTCAAATTAGCTGGAATTAAGTTCGGCGGGACATCTGCAGGCAGAGACGAAGGGTCAAACTGGGTTGTTAGGCTTGTGGAGTTAGGTAAAGAGTAAATACAAGAAGCTCTGGGAGTGGTGATGGTGAGCCTTTCTGCAATGGCCTGCAATTCTTGTTTAGCTATAAGATCGTTAATCGTGTTTTAGACAATGTTTTGGACGCTGAAAGTGAGATCCTTGACAACTTTTCCATAAAAAGAGGTGCAACGGTTTATGCATCAGTGTTTAGTACAAACCTACAGACTCAGATAGTCTTCGCATCAATCACGTGTACTATCCCACCGACGAAGCACCACAGTTTCTTTAGAAACTTACCCTCATACACCTACCACACCATACAGCTCCAAACTACGCCAAACTAAACCAAACTATAACACATTACACAAAACTACACCTACTTTACCAAACTATACCACACTACATCAAACTACACCAAATCTACCTCACCAAACTACACCATATCCCACCTTCACCAAACTATAGTACTGCACACTACACCAAACTACACCGAACTTCACCAACTACACCCCTTTACCAAACTACACCACACTACGCCAAACTACACCGCACTAAACTACACCGAATTACACAAAACTATTTTCGTGCTTTCCAAACTTTCTGCGTGCTTCAGATCTCAATGAATGCTCCCTGTCACATGAAATACTTGTTAAGTACGCGGTATGCTTCTATTGATGTTGTGGACGCAATCTAGGTCTTTTAGCTTTGTTTTTCAAACTTTTGCATTAGTATGATATACCTCAACCCTAAATGGTCCCATCTTTTAAGAAAGTTCAAGTGGTGCCCTATGATTTGATTAATATTATCTTCGCATTCTGTTTATTTTCTGTGGCCTGTTGTCAGAAACTTTTAGTGATTCCTGGTCCCTTCACTGGCCTAATGTTGCATAAGGAGCTCGCTTAAATGTGTTTTACTTCATGTCAATTGCCTTACGAGAAGAACACAAGTTACAATAGTAGAGAATATAAGTAAAAGGCACAGAAACCCAAGATTTGTAAATTTAGGTTTCTTAGCAAGAAAACTACGGTGGACATATTCAAAGAACAGCTATAACAGGAAGTATATTTCCAAGAATAATTCGGATCTAAAATAGAGTCGGTTATAGTTGCTTAGAGATTTTTTAGTTCTCTTTTTCCTTTCGGTTATTTCTTCCCATACCTTACATTTTTGTTCCTCGTGATGTTATTAGTCAACTTAGACTTAGTCAGCGAAGTCTCTGTATTTACACATTTTGTTAGAGTAGAAATTTGGTTTTCCTTGATTTCTTCATTTTCACTTAACTTGGTGCCATTGTTTTACATCATCTTAACTGTCTTTCAAGAAACAATAAAAAAAAACTTTCCAAATGTTTTTTGTCACCGAAAATACAGGTGCAAAATGCCCCAGCATGATTCTAGAGATTCTCTAAAATGTTGGTAACCGATCAAGTCACCCGAAAGTCATCTCGTCCGGAACCCGAGTCATGTCGCCCGGAACAAAAAGTTAAGTCAACCGAAAAAAAATATTACTTCAAAGATCAGACTCATAGACTGTTAATAGGTTGTTAAATTGAGAAATCTTTATCACTAAAGTGCTGTTTGTCTCCGAAAACACCATGAAGATGATGATCAGAAGAGAAATAAGTTTGAGTAACAGCTCTAAAACCGTTGTTCGTTTCTAACAACAAAATGAAGCGCTGTTCAATTGGTATGTACTCGTTTGGTATTCACCGACGTTTCGTAAACTTGAGAAGCTTTATCACTCAAGCAGTGTTGGTTTCTAACACCACCATGACGACTCTGACTATACAGAAATCAATCATATGGTCAAAATTGAAATATGTTTGAGTAACGACTCTATAGCGTTGGTCGTTTCTGACAACAAAATGAAGCGTAGTTCTTTCCTCTAACAAATTGCAGCGTTTCACTGTTTGTTTGGTATTCACTCGTTTTGTACCCACGGACGTTTCGCACTCTATCCATTTGTACCCAGTGTGAAACGGTTCGTTCCCAACCCCCTGGTAGATTCGCACCCGTCCAAATAATCAGTGATGAACAAAACCCCGGTAAACATATGTCGGTTTTCGCCTTCGAAAAGTAAGTAAAATGTCAAGCAAGTAACATCCAAATTAAGTTCTGTTGTGTAGAGTAAGTGTGATATTTTTAAGATAAAAGTCTATTGTTGATACATGTGACTTTTAACCATAGTAATCTTATGGTATCATTTCCCTTTGGATCAGAATGGGCATCGATTTTGTAGTTTCGCTTTTCCCTCTGGCAGTCGCATGCATATGTTGATGCGATCAAAGAATGCATGAAAAAGGTAAATCTAAAGCATCCTTATCATTCGAAAAAAGCTAGCTACGACACAAAATCAATATGAGCTAATCAAAGAGCAATCATCCTTGTATCGAGTAGTTGGCTATGACGTTAGACCACGCCAACAGGCCTTACAGCGTTACGAATAGATTGCCGATGCATTGCTTGTTCAATCGCGGCCTTAAACCCATCGACAAAAATTCCTGCGGCTGAGAGCACTCGTAATGACTAGTTTGGCGCTCTCGCAATACTCTTTCAGATCGTAGATTGATTTAAATAAACTCTGTTTATGTTGGTTAAATATTTCTCGCTGAACGTTTGAATCAGGTTACATTTACAGTAACATTTTACTTTTAAAGGATTGGTGACGTAAGTAAATACACCAACATGAGGTTTCGATTGATCGGTACCTTCAGCGGTTTCTGAAAATATGCCTTTTCAGGGCGTGAAATTGCGCCTAATACAGACGCCAATGCGCCTAAATTTTTCACTTTGGCGACCAAATCCTGAACGTTAGTCGCCAAATTGGCGACTAGAACGTTTCATCATAATCTTACCAAGAGATATGGTGAATTAAAAAGATTTGCGACGATAAATCCGCGGCAAACTTCCTCGTTAAGTTTGTTTCCAAAATGTAGCACATGCATCTCGATCGATAACTAGACGTCATCTTGGATTTAGATGATCCTGAACGTTGTATATCATCCATCCTAGTGTCCACTTTGTAGCACGTTAAAGATCTTTTCCCTAACTTAATTTTGGAGGGTCTATCTAGAACGCTGACAGCGTAAAGAAAGATTTTGTTTGTCTTTGAAAATGGCGACCAACTTTTTTTGAATTGGCTACCACTTTAAAGAATTTAGGAGCCAAGTGGCTATCAGAAAAAAAAGTTAATTTCACGCCCTGCTTTTTGGTGTTCTTACAAGAAATAAAGAAATCGGGCGACATGACTAAAAATTTCAGGCGACATGACTCAGGTTCCGGGCGACTTTACCGTTACCCAAAATATCATGTTTGCTGGGAAAATGGAAGTAATCCAAGCTCTTTGATTTTCTTGAGTTTCAAGCAGATTTCTATTTCGCAAATTAAAGATTTTATTTTGTTTCGTTTTGTTTCGCAAATTACAGTTAGCGACATTAAAATTAACTTCTAATGAAAACCAAAAATAGCAAATATAAATAGCTAGCTGTCTTTGTAAGCGTGTCTATACGTCTACAGTGTCCTCTGCGTTTTGCAACTAAAAAATGAGGAATTTGACCACAGATCAAACCATAGGCTCGTGGAGATTACATCATGCTCACGTTCAGTAAATCCCTAATCATTTGCAAACTCTTTGAAAAAAACAAGCTGATGTACATGAGCCTATGCAACTTCTTTAGAATACTTACCTTCAGACTTGCACACCCCATTATTGGCACAGTCCTCTTTACTTAATTCATATCCGGAGTCTCTCTACACAATCGAAGGAAGATCAATTGAAATTAATTATGAAATAGATAGAATAAATTTGGAGATATCTTACTTAAGTATGTTCATGAAAACATTCAACAAACACCTTGAACTGCTTTTTTTTTTATTAACAGTTATAAGTTCGCTTAAGACTACACTTCAAGATCAAATGCTAAGCAGGCAAGTACGGGTGTGAGCTTTTTTCACAGTTTCTTTGCCATTTTTCTATATGATGATATATACTTGAAACATGCATCAGGGTTTTTATAAAGATATTTGAGGAAAGTGTCCAGTTGCAAAAAGGCCACTGTGATGGCATGTGAAACAGAGGTAATTAAGTATTGAAAGAGATTTTCCCCACTATATGGGCCTGAAAGGCTCTGAATAATTTTGAAATTAAAAGGCCAAACTGGTACATTTTAATCCCTGCTGAACATTTTGATTCCTTGTATTTCAGCTTCTATAATTCAAAATTTTGTTACTTGAAATTTTGCACTTAGATTTATGCAAGTTATTGTAAGTTAAGTTGCTATGGACACTGAGTTTCAATTGTCATTTAAAAAGAAATGACTCTTAAAATGTGTTGCCAAATATTTCATATTCTGTGCATACAGGCATGAACTCAAAATAAATTTGCAAACTTTTTTACACATAATGCAAGAAGAATTGAAATATTGAAAGAAATGGCTATGGCCAACAAATTGCTTAGCACATTTCAGGAAATGTGTATAAACTTATACAAGACATTAAATCAAATTGTCTTTTGTTAAGAATACTCAGTATGGTATGCATACAAAGTGTTTCTTAAACAGTAGTGTACTGTGTAGGTATCGAGTACAAATAAAGTCGCAATCAATTAAGTTATGCAGGTGTGTTGGGTATTGATGATGGCACTGCAAATCATGATATGTTTAATTTGTAATTTCAGCAATAAAATCTCCTTACATCTTCAAAAGTGGAAAATTGGGCCCAGAAAATCTTATTTCCACTAAGAAGGCAGCAATTAACCCACAATTAATCTTGTCATCTTTGACACAGAGATATAGGTACATTTTGTACAGTTAATGTATTATATTGTAACAGTTATGTATCATGATACAATACCTGCCACTGAACACTTGATTCTCCTGGGGGCATCTTCAAAGGAACTCTTCCTGCTCTTTGTACCAACACTCCCTGAGAACTTCCTGCTGTTGCCTGTGATGGAATACCTTGTGGAACCACAATTTGATACTGTCCTTGCACAGAACCTTCAGGTGGCTGACTCTGCTTCAAATGTTCTATTGTTAGTTGTGGTAGTTGGCCTGGACTCACAGTTCTTCGCATTGAGGTTTGTGTTGCTGGAAAACACACAAGCTGTATTGGAGCTGAAGCTGGAGCTGAAGCTGGAGCTGGAGCTGGAGCTGAAGCTGGAGCTGGAGCTGCTATTGTTACTTTAGTCCATTGATTTTGAAGTGCAGCCTGATTTATTGCAAGACCATAGTTCCCCTTTTTACACTTTACTAGGGGTGAAACAACTGGCTGTACCATGGGTAATCCCTGCTGTGCATCTTGATCATTCTTTCTTTCTTTGAGCATACTTTTTTTATTTGAACACAATGTGAACGTTGGTATCTGCAAAGATGTTGATAGATGTTTGAAATCTTCCCCCTCTCTACATGAATCCAGAGATATAACCTATTGGTCTATACTATAAATTATGGAACCTAGTTTTTTCCACTTGGATTTCTGACCTGTGTACTTCACACTTGGGCTAAAAATCCAAGCAGAAAAAACTTGGTCTTTAAATTAATTTGCACTAAGGACCTCGAAATCGGATATCACCTACTTTTCAATAAAAATAACCTAATCTTTGAAAATATTCTATTTTTGCAGCTAGCTACTATTTGTAGTAATGCAAATGAATTGCTGCCTTCACCAAGGTGGAGTACCACAGTTATTATTAAGGGCAGATCTACCAGCAAACATACTTTCATTGTCACTTTTTTAAAAATTTATTACCTGCTGACTTGACCATTCATCAGTTGGCTCTTGTAATGCTTTTAACAAATCATCAGCTGTCATCTGTAAAAGATACACCCATTGTAAATAATTTAGCAGCATAAAATAATGTTGTGTCTTCTTAATGTGAAAAACAATTCCTTTAAGAGTGATCCTTAAAATTAAACATGCAAACAATCGAAGTGTATTCTTGATGACTGTGAAATAAAATCTGTGTTACTCACAATGGAGTAAAAGTAACATTACACCAGCTGCTATATTACTAAGGAGGCAATTACAATGGAAGCCTTTATAAGTGGGTTCCCGCAAGGTACAAAAAAAAGTTATTTGTAACCAGAGCTGATGGCTTCTGAGAATGGCTTTGGGTATATGTTAACCAAAAAACTGCAGGATGCATGTAATTACTAGCCTTTATAGGTCTGGGCTGATAATAAGTGATAGGAAAAGGGCTACTGATAGGAGTTATCTAGTCAACAAGAAGTAATTATTGATGGGCCGATTTAAGATATAATTATGACCCCTTTTGAGGCCGTGATGATGGTGAAACAAACAATGCAATAAGGCACTTCTCGAAGAAAAACAAAAAAAACAACACTTGTTGTAACATGATTGTAACATGATTAAACACTGTAAAGGTTAAGTTTACTTTGATTTGAGCAAGAGTTTTGATGTTCAGATCTACTTAAGACCTCACCTTGACCACTACTATCCAAACATTTTTCATTATTGTAGTGAAAGTAATTTAAGTAATACAGGTCTACTAGTCCACTGACTTTCTCACATAAACTTTTCCCACTGTAATTTTCACCAACCCCAGTTGAGATGTATAAAACTGAATTTCCTCTGATGGTCCTTTTAATAAATTTTCCATCCCAAACTCTCCGCACACCATGAAAGTCAAGCCCTCTATGATTGTCCGTTGCAGAAGCACACCAGAAACTGGATATGGAAATGTATAAAATTTATAGTTAAAATTGAAATTACGATCATGTTCATTCATTAAAAATACACAAAAAACTTTATACATGTTTACATACAGTCATATAATATATTTTGTATTAACATTTAAACTCTTGCATAAAAGACCTCCTTTTGTCTGCTGTCAGTTAATAGAGATCAGAACTTTATTGTTTCTTTTAAAACATTTATGAGGGGGAGATTGGAGGATCCTAAACACTGTAATACTATTAAAATTATTCAGCCAATATTGCAAAGAAAAAAAACAATGAATACTGCAATACTCTGATACATTGTTGTAACCTGATGTCAATTGTATACTCTGTATAGAGCAAAATTAATGACGAGGAAATAGGAAGTAGGAATTTGTAAAGGAATGCTATATTTGTCGGGTTATTTTCAATTCAGGCAAAATCAACAAAATATGCAACATCCATTGAAGTGTTGGCTAATAAACAACAAAAAAAAATGAATGGATTAGACAACTGTCAAGTTGTTCAAAGTTGTTTTTCAGCCTATTTACAAAACAATTGGAAACAAAAAAAGGCTTGGAAAACGGTGGAGGACTTGGAGGATAATTTTTAATACCATCCATAATGCTTAAAAAAACTGCATATAGACAAAAATAGTTTTTGTTTGACAAGAATACATTAAAGTACAGTATATATTTTGAAAAAATTGGGAAAAAATGTTGTTTGAAAACTTCCCTCCTCTTTTCATAGGAACAAAAGAAAAGTCTGTTTAAATTAATTTCAACAGTGTAACACATCAAAATATTCAACAGCTAACTTATGATTAAGAAAAATCAAGTTGGTGGTGTAGGTAAATCCATAGCCCCCAATCAACCAGAAACTTTCAATCAGCTACACCTTTAAATTGTTTTTGACCTTTGTCTGATGAGCACCAACAGCTAGCAGAGCTCTCAACTCTCACAAACTAAGCACGAGACAAACACAAACAAATTCAATCATATGCTCTCATGCTGTAACTATTCTTTCTTGTGGATTTAAGGTTTCTGATAACCACCAAATGGTGGATTTTAAGATACATGTAGCAAACTGCTGCTCTAGTAAAGTATCTAAAAAGTATAGAATTGATTATCCTTCTAAATATAATTTAGGCCAATTTTTCCATTTTTGACGAACCACAGCTTTCTCTTGCCAATCTAGGTATCTTTTTTACAAGCTGTCTTAGTTTTCTTTTTGGATTTCTGAAATCTTACTGAAATGGCAAATTTATGTTATGCTGACATTTAACTTAAGTTTTCCAATGAATGAGGGATTGCAACACCCTTCACCATCCTTTGCATGAGAAGTCGCTGACATGTAACTACTCCCTACAATTTCCACACAATTTCCAGCAAACAGTTAATAAGAATACTCAAACTCATCAGGTAGAAGTTGTTGTCTTGATCTTTCAGCAAATTCTTGTCACTAATTTACAAGGAATTGTGTAGCAGCAAGAGGGGAGAATTAACAGTCAGATCTTGGGAGTTAAAGGGTTAATATCATCAATCATGCATACCTCTGATCTTTCAAATATGTAAAATGGGAGAGTATTTCTTTCCTCACATCCTCTTCTGTCATCTTCCAAGTAAATAGCACATTGTCGTTAAACTGTCCTTTCTCTTTCTTCCTTAGGGCTTTCTGCCCTGAGAAGTTTGGCAAATAAACCTTCCCATCGCTTTCCTCAACATCAGAGGATAGCAGGACAACAACACTTTTCCCTTCCTTACTTCCAGAGTTTGATTGTGTCACCTTTGACAGACTGGTCTCCATACTCAAACTAATTCTGGTTGAAAGATGGACATCAAAAATATGATAAAAATTTAAGGCAGTGTTAGTTTAATGTTAATTTTAAGTATTTAATTAGCATTTGCATATATAAGAGGTTTTGCTCAATTGCTCCACTGCTGAACCAAATTAGCAACTAAGATACCTTAACCTTTATCCTTTAATTTAATTCTTGAGTGACTAGCCTCTAATTGCTCTCCACAACATCAGTCCTGAATCAAAAATTAAGGTGATGAGAATAAAAGAAGAGATCACCGATGAAAAAAGTTCTTGACTGTTAAACAAATTCTCCTTTCCAACACCTCAGGAAATATATAGAGAACAATATGGAGAATATGCAAACTGATATTGAGGTGTAAAGGGTTTATGCTTTGTTTCATCCGCTGCCGAGCCTAACGATCCACTAAATATATAGACCTGAGACTTGTAGATTAAGTGTAGATTATCAATCGCCATTTCATTCAATGCAGGGCCAAACCAGCCAAACAGGCTAAACGAGCCACTAGACATGACTAGATATATGCTCCTTCAAAAGTAGCCATGTATTGTGTAGTTGCTCCTAAGATTACGACAGTATGAGACGAGATTGCGAGACAAGTAACGTCAACAGAAGGAGTTACAACTTAGAGAAATTTGTGGACAGAGATCGAAAGGGTACAGAGGATAGCAAATCGAACGGTCCGCACGTTCGATGCTACCTCGATGATGTGTGCACATATACAGACACGAAGCAAAAAAGAAAAACACCTACCTCTTTTTCACTGTAACTTTCCGCGAACAACAAAGGTAACATTTTTAGTTTGAAAGGATATTTCGACGAAAGATCGAATCAAAGGTTCGATCGACAAAAAACTAAAAAAATTGGCAACTTAAACGTTTGGGTGTGCTAGGGTTTACATACTAACCTCTTCTGAAGGCAAGTTTCGCTAGAGACAATTCACACGCCTCTCTATGAAATTAATCCTCTTCTATGGAAGACATGGTTCCGATATCTGTAATGCGCGGGTCTCCATAAATTATTTTGCTCTTATGGAAAACCAGACGCGCAACAACGATTGACCTGCGTGCGCAGAACGGAAATCGTCCTCTTGAATTGCGATTGACCTGCGTGCGCAGGAACGGAGGTGGCCTTTTTCGCACGCAGAATTTTTTTTTGGGATCACTTTTATGAGGTTCTTTTACGGACAAAATATCGAACATGGATACATTAATGTTTTGTTCAAATACTTTATTGTTATGCGTTATCATACAAGTCTTAAAATAAAATAAATCAATTTCATCCGGAATACATCGATTTTGGATGTCATACATCGATGTTGTGCAGCATACATCGCTTTCCTGACTCATTCACACGTGACCTTATAGAACTAAAAGATGTTCAATAAAACTCAATAAAACTAAAAGATGAGGAAGCGGAAATAGAAATGACCGGAAGTCAGATTAAACAAGAGGCCCCGGAAACTAACCCTTTCAAAATGGCGGAAAAAAAGGCAGATTATCAGTAATGTTTGAGAAGCACTACGCAAGGTGTACGGATTTGGCTGCCCAACATCGAAGGATTTTTTACGCCTTTGGGTAGGCTACTGGAAAGTACAGAAGGGCAAAAGAACACTGCGTCCTACGACTCGGCTGAATTTTTTAGTCGTCGTTTTCGAGAAAACGAAAGGGCTCTTGTCACTTTGACTCTAAGAATAGAAGAAGCCTTCCCGAATGAAGTTGAGGTGATCTCTGATCTAAACGAACTTATTTTTCTTATGAACGAACTTTCAAGGGACTTTGACAGAATTTTCGAGGACTCGGAACGTTCCACGTTTACTGCACCATCGTCCCTAAACGATCGTCTTTCAACTGTGGCATTAGGAACGGTTTAGTTGGAAGACCAAGGCTACAGATCTCACAGCAAGAGCTGCAAACTCTGCACAATGACCCCGGTTTTCGTTGGGCTGATATCAGAAGAATTATTGAATGAGAGTATTGCTTATGGCAAAATTGGTTATGGCAAGATATAGACATGAAAGGATGATCCTTCCTTATCTTACTTTCAGTTAACAGTTGTGTTATTCTTGGGCCCACAAACCATTTTTATTCATAATTTTTCATAGGACATAAAAAAACACATACAAATCATAATCACTAAGAGATTGAATAAGGGAGGGCGTAACTTGAAGTTTTTAGGAAAAAAATCTTTGTAATTGGTACAATTATCCATGACTTTACATATGTTTATGGTAATGTTTTGCTCCTTTATTGCTAGAAATTTCTACTGCTCAAATTAATACAAAATTTCTGTTAATTTCCTAAGCAGTGGCCAAGGGAAATATGCCAGTGGACCCTTCACATAAAATAATAAAATTTTTAAATCCGTTTAGGTTACTTAGGAAATGTTCCACGTTCAAAGTTCCAGTTTCAAGTTACTCAGCATATTAACTGTTTCATTAACAGCATGATAAACTCAACACCAACAAAAAGAGCTTACAAGAGCTCATTTACAAGGGTATAAACTTCTCTGCAATAGCCATTATGCATGCAACATTGTTTTGCAATATTGTTTTGAGTGACTGCAAATCAAGGCTAGATCTCAGGTTTAAAGTGTTAACTTTATACTATGAAGCATCTAGTACATTATGCCACCATAACATTAAGTATTTTTTTTCCCAGTAATACAAAGTTTTACACCCCTTTGTATTAGTAAGGCTGTTAGATTTGAGATTATAACTGATTATTGTTACTGTTTCCCATTTACATTATCATTAGTAATTCCAAGTACATGAGGTTAATACAGTAAATCATGAACAGCAGTTTAAATAAAAAGAAGCAATCTGCAATACCACTTGGTAAGCTATGATTCCATCATGATCACCAGTTTGGAAGACTGCATCTTTAGCTTCTTGCAGTGACAATTCTTGGTTATGTGTCAGAGTAGTAATTGTGTCAGGTACCAAAACTGCATAGTCACTCCGCATGTCAGGTACAGGCCCTTCTTCACCAATCCCATAATGACTGAATAAATTAACAGCCTTGCTGGCAGTCACATCTGTCACAGCCTTATACCCAGAATTTCTGAAATGTAGCATTCCTTGTATCCAGAGCTGATTGGGAGAGAAATTGCATTGCGTGCTTACAGGAGGATTATTCCACTGACCGATAAATTGGTTAATTGCATTATTAATCAGTGTAATGTAAACTAGATGAATACAAAACAGATGCACCTCATCTGTTGGATCTAAAATTCCACTGTGCTCAAGAAAGAGGAAAATGTTCAAAAAGGGGCTCATAATAACCCAGTTGACATCATACCAGAGATGCTCTATTCTCTGGTTATGAACAGATTTTCCAGTGATGTGGCTGCCTCTATTCAAACCTCTTTCTTGTAGCATGAAGCGAGCAACTTCTATGTTTTCCATTCCAAGATCACTGTGAACTCTTGATGGTAAATTGTAGTGCTCAACAACTGACTGGAAATACTGCAGTACAGTTAAAGCCCTGTTGTTGGTTGATGCCTGAAGGAATACTATCATTCTTGAAAAACCATCTAAACCACCATGAATGACAATTTTATATGGCTGGATTAGTTTGTGGTTGCCATCAATGCGCCTGTTGGACACCATGAAGACATTTGTTCCACTACACTATCACATATAAGTTAGGTTAAATATGGTATGTAAAAAAAGTTAAATCTGCCTATCTGAGTAATAGTGGTAATAATTATAATGACAACCATAAAAATAATAATCATAACAACAACAAGAGGCATTTTGTGATCACCCATGAGTAACAGGCGTGATAGGTAGGAATTTTGAGCAAAATATCAGGGGAAGGTGGTGGCTGGGAAACTGGGTTAGGGTAATTAGTGAGGTGGCTAAATAGAATTGGGGAAAGTATCTCAAATCATGAGTTGAATTGGCATTAATGCTCATGCATCAAAATTACAGCCTAACCTCCCTTGTACCACAGATTTAAAACCGGTGTTGCCCCTGTGTGGAGGGAACTCCCATATAAAAAGGAAAGGAGTGCTTGTCGCAAATTTTGAAAAGAACCCTTAAAAGGTATCAAGATCCTGTTTTATGGGCATAGCTTAATATGCTTTTCACCTCTAAGAGGAAACAATTCTGAAACAACACAGTTAACCCTAGCTGTCATTTTTTTCTGTTCAAGACCCTACCTAAGAGATAGCACAAAAGCTCCTGCTGTGGACCTTATGGAACTGACCACCATAAGAGGTACCAAACCTGTATTTTTAAACCCTAAAAAGTATAACAAGCATCCCTGTCCTTTTTATACAGGAGTCCCCCCAGGGGGGTGTTGCCCTTAGAGAAATAACAAACTATTTTGAAAAGAGGGGTAGTGGGCTCTAATGGTGTAGGGGGGCCTGTTAAAAATGGAGACCCTTCTGAACAGAGACTCGTTAGAAAGAAGGTAGTGTTAACTAAATAGCGCTTCAAAGAATTCGTTTATTTTACCATAACGCATTGGGGCATGGCACACTGTTCACTCTACGAATTATCTGCTGCGCTGCTCTTAAAGTGCGAAGAACCGGATCCACTCTTCGAATGGATTCCTGAATACGATGGCACTGGATTCGGAAGCCCCTTTTCCTTAAGCCCCCTTCAACCAGGCGTTGACCAGCGCTTGGTGTCACTTCAAGAATTTCCCTCACATATTCGTCAAGGTCATCGTTGGAGACATCACTGAAATTCTCTCCCACACCAACTGGCAACCCAGATTCATGTCTTCGACGGCACAAAGTTCTTCCGGAGATTCCAAGAATTCTTCCGATATCAGCCCAACGAAAACCGGCGTCATTGTCAGAGTTTGCAGCTCTTGCTGTAAGATCTGTAGCCTTGGTCTGCCAACTAAACCATTCCTTGCCACAGTTGAAAGACAATCGTTTAGGGACGATGGTGCAGTAAACGTACAACGTTCCGAGTCCTCGAAAATTCTGTCAAAGTCCCTTGAAAGTTTGCTAATAAGAAAAACAAGTTCGTTTAGATCAGAGATCACCTCAACTTCGTTTGGGAAGGCTTCTTCTATTCCTAGCGTCAAAGTGACAAGAGTTCTTTCGTTTTCTCGTAAACGACTAAAAAATTCAGCCGAGTCGTAGGACGCAGTGTTCCTTTGCCCTTCTGTACTTTCCAGTAGCCTACCCAAAGGCGTAAAAAATTCTTCGAAGTTGGGCAGCCCAATCCGTACACCTTGCGTAGTGCTTCTCAAACATTACTGATAATCTGCCTTTTTTTCCGCCATTTTGAAAGGGTTAGTTTCCGGGGCCTCTTGTTTAATCTGACTTCCGGTCATTTCTATTTCCGCTTCCTCATCTTTTAGTTTTATTGAACATCTTTTAGTTATATAAGGTCACGCGTGAATGAGCCAGGAAAGCGATGTATGCTGCACAACATCGATGTATGACATCCAAAATCGATGTATTCCGGATGAAATTGATTTATTTTATTTTAAGACTTGTATTATAACGCATAACAATAAAGTATTTGAACAAAACATTAATGTATCCATGTTCGATATTTTGTCCGTAAAAGAACCTCATACACTTTCTGAAGGGTCAGCATTAGATTCCATCCACCAAAACCACTTTGGTCGAGAGGGACTGAGATGGAATGATGGACAACTCATGACTTGTTATACTAAGTGAAAATTACGAAGCTACGACAACATGCCGACTTATCCCGATGACCTAAGTGTATCATTTGTTTGGGAAATTGCGTCAAAACTTTTTACTCAAGAAATGGTAAGTATTAATTTATTGTTCGATTGTAGTATTATAAAACATTTTACGCAATTTTATGCAGATATTTCACGTATTTAAAAGGTGCCCAGATGTTACGTAGTTTTGGTGGATGTCATTAGGGAACATCCACCAAAACTTTGACCAAAACCATCAACAATAAGGGAATAACATGACTTTTTGAGGGAATATTGTTTTTTTGCGCCCTTGTAGTGTCATTTGCGGCCCGAGCGCGAAGCTGTTGATTGAACAAGCTATTAAAGAATCAACTCAGTCCAGTGAACTTATTGAAAATTACCGAAAAAATGCTTAAAATCGTCTATAAATAATAGGCATATCACAAAGTTAACCTTAAAAATGTCCATGCTGGTAACATTATCAGCTGTAGGGCTGATAATGCATTAGCAGCCCGCTGTCAGTCTTTTGTGGCCCGCTGAGCGTGTGTTTTGAAGAGGCCGATTTTCTATTTGGCCGCGTATATTGATAATAATATTTTTTTTCAATTTTATCTATAGCCACTGTTAGATGTTCAGGGAGACAAAAGATTTATACCACTAATTAGCAGTTAGTGCTCTGGCTAATTATTTTTTATGGTGCACAATTGCTGACCGACCAAACGTTCATAATGATTATCATAACTCTCAACACATAGAATAAAGTGGTTTTGGTGGATGTTTCTTTCCATCCACCAAAACCACCATAGTAATTTCTGCTACTTCCTTACAGAAGACTGATGTGACCTGCTATTTGGAGTACATAACCACAATCTATTTCTTTGTATGTAGAGATATTTTGCAAAGTTCTTGAGTCAGCACCTTTTATTATTGAAACCATAATCATAACATGGTGCACAATATAGAATACAAAAGGTTCTGGTGTGGTAATCATGTAATCTTGAAACAGGAGAGTTTTTAACTGACTTAAACTGATTTAAAAAGACATTTGCAACAAAATTCCAGGTCCAGAAATTTCTTCCACTATTTCCGCTAAAATCATAACCTTTAAGTACAACAAATCAGCACATTAGTAATTGTTATCAGGGGTCTGAAAATCCTATAAATCTTTCACATTATTTCAAGTAACCTTCAATTTCACATGGATGAATAAGTATACGCTCAAGATGTAGAATGTCTTACATTTTACAAACTATTTACATGCATTTTGTGATAATTGTTTGTTTTTGCTCACAATATCCAGAAAAATGGAAGGGATAAATTTAAATAGCAAATTCTATTAATGGTTAAAATTAAATAACATTGGAAGATCAAATTAACTTTGTACTGTTTAAAATTCAGTTTTGGTTTCTTGCTTATTCCGGCCTCTTAATATTCAAAAGCATTCCTTGTCATTTTTGTGTTCTTCTGTGTACATAACTTGAAAAATAAACACAGAGAAAGGAAACCACAAAGGATTAAACTTGAAGCTAAAGCAAAGTTTAAGTTGAGCCATAGCTGATCCAAATACTGAGCACTTTGTATTGTAACCCATTTAGCAGTAACGTTTATCTATATGTCTGCCAGCTTGTCACAAGTCTTACCCCTCTCCTTCAAAAGTCTCTATAAATAAATTTTTCTTTGTGGTCCCTAATTGATGATAAGTATATTACAGCTCCTCAATTTTCCTCTCTCAAGACAAGGTTACTCTAAATTTAACAAAATAATGGACTTGATAAAACTCAAACTATAACTCAGCTGGCTGCTACTTGCAACCTTAATTTCTTGATATCAGTATACAATAATCAGTATGTTATAAATAAGAACCCTAATGCTTAATTTTGCAGTGATCACCTTCCTCCTTTTCATTTGCAGACCAGACTGGAACCTCTATAGGTGTGTTTGCTTGTTTTGAGTGGGGATGGAAGAAAAGGAGTCATGCTGCATATCTGATTTATTAAATCGCATTTGCTCTGTTTATACATGAGTAGAACTACCTTGTTCTCTGAAAAAAATAAAATTTCTCGCATTTTTATCTGTGCTTTGCAGTCAAACTTCCTTGTGTCTTGGACAAGAAATCTTATTTTCTTGAAAACAAAATCTTTGTTTCCGGCCTTATGTAATAGTTAAATATAACAGTGTAAGATGAGTGACAGTGTATTTCTCAAGTTATTTTTTGGAATGTGACAAAACGGAAGTGTCATAGCGTGATAAGGAGCAAACATATGATTGCTTGATAGAAAGCAAAAAATGCAGAATTGCATATATTTTCTCCTTTGTCAGCAGCATATGTTAGTGAAAAGTTCTTATAATTGTTAACTTCTAAACCATCTTCAATTTAGCCAAGATTGAACTGTTATCACGTTTGTCATAAAAGTATTCTGAGATCAATGTCATATGACCCATTCATGTATTTGACCTTTCGAATTAGAAAGCCATAGTTGACAGAAACACAAAGGTTGAGGATAAAAAGAAATTATTATATACAGTACTTCTTCTGCATCTTTTCGTTTCCTTTTCTCTCCAGCTGTTCTATCTATGCCGTGCTGGCAATTGAACACTTTCCTTCCCAAAATTATTAAAGGCACACCAGTAAAAAACGAATTTTTGCTCCTTAAATATCTCATGCATCTTCCCGCAGTATTTTGTGACTTCTGTCCGAGGAAGGAGGTGTAAGCATTAAATTAACCCTCGCTATGCTGTTTCTGGTTGTTCCTCAAGAATCATGGGATTTATTTAAAGAGATTTTCCTGTGAATCTTTAACCTTGAGCAGAAAATAATTGTGTAAGGCATGAAATTAATTTTTTTTTCTGATAGCCACTTGGCTCCTAATTTCTTCAATGTGGTAGCCAATTCAAAAAAAAGTTGGTTGCCATTTTCAAAGACAAACAAAACCTTTTTTTATATTGTCAATGTTCTAGATAGACCCTCCTGAATTAAGTTAGGGAAGAGATCTTTAACTTGCCACAAAGTGGACAATAGGATGGATGATATAGAATGTTCAAGCTCACCTAAATCCATGATGACGTCTAGTTAGTGATCAAGATGCATGTGCTGCATTTTGGAAACAAACTTAACAAGGAAGTTTGCCACTGATTTATCTTTGCAAATCTTTTTAATTCACTATATCTCTTGGTAAGGTTATATTGAAACATTCTAGTTGCCAATTTGGCAACTAATTTTCAGGATTTGGTCGCCAAAGTGAAAAATTTAGTCACATTTGTACCTGTATTAGGCGCAATTTCATGCCCTGTTGTGCCTTCAAAACATGGCATTAATTAAATTTTTCATATATCTAAAAAAAAAAAAGTCCATGAAACCTCATTCCAATGATTCTACAAACAAAATTTTTTTGTTGCGGACATTACACAAAATTGTCACAGACATTACATTTTTGGGAACACATTTTTGTCATTCAGTTTCTAGTCAGTGCTGCTGACTGTGGTTATGTCCATTTGTTCTGTAGTTACTTGTATGAAAATGAAGCTGTAAAATTATCATTTACTTTATTTATGTTTTGTTATAATCAAATATTATTATATATTTGTCCCACTGACCTAGTATCATGCAATACTAGTCAGATTTTGTTCTGCTATCCATACTGACTTCTTAAAATGATTTCAAAATTAAATTTATTACATCTCAAGTAAATGTTGCAAGAAAACAAGAAGCATTTTCAATAGTAAGGAAATTATTTTGTTTTTTGTTTTTTTTAACTGATTTAGATACTGAAATTATCATTTTTTGTCTCAGTCTGACTTAAAGACAGGGAAAATGTAAATTTGCACAAATTGCACTTTGTTCACTGCATATTACATTACAAATTCTACCTAAAAAAATAATACTCATTCACGTTTGAGCAGAAAAACAAAAGAAACAATGATGGTCAGTGGCTTTCCTCAAAAAGCATGCTTACAGACAGTTTTGAGCATGCTCAGAAGTACAAAACCCCTGACTAGCGACTCAATTCCTCCTTTTCCATTTCTGCAAATTAATTGCAAACAAGATTAATTTTATTATTGCAATGCCTCAGACAAGTGGTGAAAGGTCATGAAAATTTAGAAAATAGTTGAAAGAAGATTCTAAGTTGTATGAAGTTTACAAAACCAAAGATAGAGAAAGAAAGAAAGCAGGAAGGAGGCTTAAGTTTCAGAGTCCAGCTGAAATAAAAAGAATATTGCAAACTAGTTCACTGGAACCACTTTATGTCCTTACCTTTCAAGGGGTTAAATGTGAAGAAAGGTAAATCATCTTGTAATCTTACTTTGTTATATATGAGCTAACATTTTTATATCGGGGTAAAGCTGTGTCTGCTGTTCTAGTTAAGAAACATGCATTAGTTAACAGACTTTTTAGACTGAGTGACCTTATGGTCTTTTAAGGAGACCTGTATTTTAAATAAAATCGCTTAACAAAGAATAAGCCTGTAGGGCAAAGTACATTGAATATGCTATTATGTGCAACAAAACAATGGTTCTTTTTTCCTGTAATACATGGTGTTCTTCACTCAATCTCGGATCTTCCCAGAGAATAGACTGCAAAATGACATTGAAAAGACAGATCAATATCAGTATCTGGGCAACTGCCCACCTACCCCTCCCCTAACCCAACATTAACCTTAACTTGTGGTCAATTGACTGTTGTTGAGTTAGGGGAGGGGTAGGTGGGTAGTTGTCCAGACACTGATATTGATCCGAAAAGACTAAGTGCACTTTTGTCTGCAAACTCTTTCATCAGTCCAGGGTCACAGAGTGGCACAGCATCACTGTTTTCATAATGATGTTGCAAGGATATCTGAAATTTTCCCATCAGCTTGTCAAATGAATTTTCTGAAATTATAGAAAAGTCATATTTAAATAAATTTTATTTATTTAATTAAAATATTTGGTTCTCTGCTTGTGTCAATCACTGTTGTGGTGGTCTTAATTACACATCCTCTTACTTATTGGATTGCACAAGTACAATACCTGTATCAGAAATATAATATTGAAAGGGTGTCTGCTACCCTTACTGGTCACCTAAACAACATTATGTCATGTTGATTGTTTACTAAGTCACTAGTCAATATTCAACCAAAATAATTATCAGTTTTCCAAATCATTAAAAGGATATGACTTGAGTACTTGTGAAAAAATAGTTTGTGGTAAGTCTGATGCAGCATTTTTTTCTTGGCTAAGAGACTCTTCAGAAAACTCTTCCAAATCATTGCCACAATAATAATTATTAAGAAGTTCTCTAAATCATTCTCATTAGTACTTTTTGATGACTTCAACTGAATGATGAAATTTATAATGTTGTAAAACTAGTCTGTTGATGGACCATGTACAATACATGTAAATAATGATAATCTGTTTGAATGAGTTTTGTGGTGATGGTGTAATTGCAGTGTGCCATGGATTATCATGATGTCAAATAATTATCCTTCAAAATACTTGTATCTTGTATGACTTGTATCTTTACATCTCAAGTCATGGGTTGCTTTTGCCATCCTATTCCAAACTGTTTTATCCACTGTAACTTCACCATAGAAATTTATTTTTACCACCCCAAATGATTTTTGTATCTGCCATAGATGTTTGCTGGCTTTTTGGGGTACTGCAGGTCTATTCCACAAACCTCTTCTAGAAATTTAAGTCTTTGGAACAGCAATTGGAAATGATTCTGAACTTTCTGGAGGCCTTCACTACTGCTGTGTTGCTGCTCTAAGTTCTTAAAAAATCTTAAAATTGGTGAGCGAGTGAATTGCAAGATCTAAATTAAAAAAATAAATAAATAAACGTATCAGTGATGAGTTTGTGTGTATCCAGATACTGAAAATTGGATGTCCAAAAAGCATATCCCCCATTACATGAAAAATAGAGTTGGGGAATTTTTAGTGAAATTTTTCAAGAAGTGGGTGTCCATAGGATTCCTGGACACCCCTCTGACTGAATCCTAGGTGTGAAGACAACATTAGTGTACTACTGAATTTCAATAAGTATATGTGAAAATGACGTCAATTTTAGACAAAATCATCGGTACAATTTTATGGGTCTGGTTGTGGGAAAAAATAAGTTTGTAAAGTGGCATAAAGTGCTCGTTTTGCAGTCTTTGATATTATTGTTTTTTACTAGGATATCTGTGGTAGCCCAGTCATAAAATGCCTTGTTTTTTTGTCGTCGTTTTTTTTTTTTCCTACGCCACAAAATGGGAAAATTGTGCAATAGTACTTAGTGGTCATTGGGCCCTCAACACCATGACAACTAACTGTGATCCAATGAGGTGTTCACATGCTGATCACGCGTGTTATCTTGATGATGATTGACGTTGTCATGCACAGACAGGGCCGGGTCGCATGACGAATCACAAGATTTTTGCTTATAAAGTTCTTTGGTCAGTTGTTTTGTATTTCAATGTATGTGGATTCCGATCTCCTGGAGCATTATGGCGCAAACGCGCAAAATACTTACAGACGCATATACAAGTCGTATTAATCGCGGCTAATCCACACTGAAAGATGTTATTGAGCGGTAATTTTGGAACGGATTGAGTCGCGAACGCTTGAAAGCCATGAAAGCCTTGAATGCCTTGTATGCTAATGTCTTAGTTGAAAAACGTTCACTTGTTGTAAAAAGCAAAATCTGAAATCTGAAACCAAACTGCATATACTCTATGCAATCTATTGAACAACGCTACTACCGTGAGACTGAAGAACAAAACTCTAATGGATGCAAACTGCTTGTGAAGAAAGACACCATGTTGGATTCACTTGATGCCAGGGAACGTAGCGACGATAACAGTACGAATGGTATTAATTTCATGATCAGAAAGGTGAATCTTATGTTTGTTTTCATTGTAGTTGTATGGATATTCTTTTTTAATAAATACGTGATCCAAAACCCCGTGTTTTTTTGTGTATAATGTTATTATGTTAAATATTGTTTACGCAATTGTCTTGTCACAGGCGGCCCAAGCTCACGCCTCGAGACAAAGCCAACGATTAATTCATGAACGCGTCACGTGTTGTGTGACTCGGTGTTATGTTACGAGAGGAACTGTTGGAAATTTGAACACGTTATAAGGAATAGTATAGGGAACGAAGTATGGTCGATTTAGAACGATAAATATTTCGAAATATGAACATTTTTCTCGTAAAATCAATAAAACTTGCTCATACCTTGTGTATCCGTTGTATTTTCTGGCGATTTCTGCCGTTTTAAGCTTGCTTTACCATCACTGTTGTTCACGTCATCTACTTTTATTACGTTGGTAAACTCTGTACAGACATCACACCAACCAACTCGCGTGCAAAGTGAGAAGACTATATTGAAGGCTTAAAATAATATTGCGATCGATTTTCATCAAGAAATGG